ATTGTCTCAGTCGCTTAAAACCAGGACAAAGATGGTGAGAAATTGGGACAGCACTTGAAAGTCAAGCCATCACTTCACAAGTTCCTCTTGAAGGCAGCACAAGATCATCACATCGATGGCGTGACCTGCAGGAATGCAAATCAGCTGTTTGATTCATGGTCAGCGGTCAGAAGCGCGTTTAGTTTTAATGAAGCTCACAGCAGGAGTGCTTATTGTGATGGTGTTGGAATGGAAAAAAAAAAAGCCCCAAACAAACGAGCAAATTGCACACCTCCCTGAGTGCCAGAGTAAACAGAACAGCACCCACTTCATGTCTGTGTGTATTCAGCTCAGTTTCAATTAGCAGGAGGTGTGAAACAGCAAACTGAAGGGAGATAACGTGCGAAAGCTGGTGTGTGATTTCTGATTGGCTCTCTGTTGTTGATAACTTTCTGCACTTGAGAAAAAGCCTCAGATGGTTTTTCGTTCCCCTGAAACAGACTCCTTAAGTATCTCTGGTCTGTTTGTGGTTTGCTCTTGCATGGTTGAAATCTATCTGAGTCTCTGAGTCCTCTCTGCTGAGTGTTTCTACCTGAGCGTGCCGTTTCTTGGTTTTCACCGCTGCAACTCTCTGCCAACAGAGAAGTCTGCTTTTCTTCACTAAATGAGAAATCAGCAGGGAAGTCTACAAAGACCTGCGCTGGGCTCAAACAGGGAGATTCATTTTTAAAACGTATCCTTGAGCGCCGGTTCAAACGTCTTTTCAGGGACCAGACCCCGTTTAAATAAAGGTCATTACGTCGGCAGGTTTATTAGCCGACGGGAGACGTGTTTGGTTGGCTGAAGAATAAAAAAAAACTCCTCAATTACGCAGGCGTCTGTCTCAAGTATAACCTGTCATTTTAAGGAGGAATATTTCACTATCGAAACGTTCCTGTGGTAAAACAGTAGGAAGGGATTAGAAGAAACAAAAACAACTCAGCGTTAAATGAGCCTGGCAATACTGGTGACACTTAATGAGAACCATATTCAGACTTCGTCAGCGCAGCCACGCTAGGAATGAAACACTCCAATGTGTTAAACATAACTAAACATGTCAGTTTCCCTTTGACTGGTACTCAAGTGTGCAGTGAAGCACTTGGAAGGCAATTCTTTGAATGATTACCACAACAGGCCCTTTAAACCCCATATTATCGCCCACAATTTCAAAAATATCATAATACAGAGATGATTGATACATCATTAGGAAAATATATATATATATAATGATACAGCAGGATACTTACCGAAGAATAGAGAATAGACGCCCCTAAAGAGTAAGGTGACCAGACATCCCCGATTTCTGAGGACAGTCCCTGTTTTGGATGACCTGTCCCCGGCTAAGGCTGTCCCTGTAAATGTCCCCGATTTAAGTGTTTCATGAATGAGTGAAAAAAATGTTGCATGTAGACTAGAACAACAGTAGGAAGTGCAAGAAAGCATGATGGTCTTTTAAGCAAATCACAAGACCATTCAAATCTTACGGAGCCCGGGAGGTGACATTAACTTTTTTGTTTAACTGTTTGTCAATAAACAAAATCACTTCCTTCTTGATGATCTTGATGAGGTGTCTTCAACTCAAAACAATACCAAATGTGGCTAAGCTATAAAGCATCTCTTTGTGATTCATATCTAAATTAAAGAAAATGTTGATAGTATGCTCTCTGTCTATGACACCGTCCTTCTTCTTTCACAAATGAGGCGCGTGGAGGATTATATACAAAAACGCAAGTGCGAGATACTGAATCGCACGTGCGACTTACAAAAAAATAAAAAAAATACAAAATAAAAGTTCATTACACCTTCCAGGCTTCAAAAAATCTAGTTATTTTGAGGTTACAGTTATAATAAATACCATTCCCCTCCCAGTTTGAGACAACAACAGTAACAGTTGTAACACATTATAATACCTGACCTTGTAAGTCATGATAAAATGCGTTATAATGTATTATGATTATTGCTATAAACCATTATGATCATTTGAGTGTTTATAACTATAGTTACACAGTGCTATAACATTATTATAACACATTATACATATATTTATAATGCGTTATAGAGATAGATGTCAAATAAAGTGTTACCAAACTAACAGATGTGAGTAAATCAACAGCTCCCGTGTTTGTCAGATAAGATAAGATAAGATAAGATAAGAGGAACCCGAGGGGAAATTCGACAGGTAGGACGCCAACATCATCAACCAATTTAGGTGTATTTTTAAAGTGTTACTGCTCCTGTTTCTACCTCCAAAGATCATATCAGAGTATCGAAAAAAAGCGTCAATCTCTGTCTTTTTTTGGAGTCAGGTAGTATAAAAGAAAGGATCCCTACAATCTCAGTCTTTAAGTAATAAAAATGAACATCTAGTACATTAATGGGGTGCATTAACCCTGAGCTATGTTGTAGCCGTGTTTCACATATATAGGCCATTCATAATCTCTTTTAAATAGGTAAACTTTCACATAAAGTTGTCGAAAAGAAGATGATTAGTGTGATTTTTACTGCATGATGCTCTAAAGCTCAATATTATTTTGTGTATTTAATGCTGTTTTCAGAGGCTGACATGAGGTTTGTGTATATGTCTGCATGTGAGCCGTTTACTCGGCACCGTCCCTCATGTGAATGCTGGATTGAGCCGATCTGTCAGGCGTTTTTTGGGGGCTCAGTATTTATGATACATGCTGGTCAGATGAAAAATATAAGGGTGACATTTTCCAGACTTTTCACCATCATTTGACCGTAAACTAAATGAGTCGTGTGCTTCGAGCGCTTGTGTGAATTAGCTCATTCAAAATGAAACAGAGATGCATTTATCTAAAGCGGATGGTTTATGGCTGATGTAGCAGCTGGCTAAGTTCTTCCATTAAATTATTTTTTCAAAGAATGATTCTCTGAGCTTGAGTTTAGACAGGTTCACAAATTGTGATACTTTCCATGGCTTGCTGCTTAGTTGAGTGTTGTTTATTTGGGCGCTAATTTGGCCGGCTTTATTGAGAGGCTTGCTGTGGCAGCGTTACAGGCAGAAATATTGTCCCACTTGAGTTGGACAAGAGTTGTAAATACACTGCAAAAAGTGTACTTAACAGGCCATTTCATCCCATATTCAGGCTGTAAATTCTGCCTCTCCTCAAAGAAGTGAAACAGTCTGGTAGCTGGGTGATGTGATTTACCTTATTCGTGTTAAGTGTGTGGTTTTGTATTTGTAAAGCTGTATTTAATAGAAAGAACAAGGCAGATCCCACTACATTAAGAAAATGTTTCAGTTAATTCATTCAGGAAGAAACGAGGCAACACTGTGTTGTTCTCATATCTGACAGCATATTTTTGCTTCAGCGGTTTCTTGCATGTGTGGAATCTCATTCTTCACTTTTGCCATTTTTGTGAAGTGGAAGCAGCGAGATCAGGGCTGGGTTCCATTTCAATTTAATGAAACCTGATCCAATCAACTCCAGTTCTGACTGATCACCGACACCATTCCTGTTATGTTTCAAGAGTAAAGCAATAAGTCTGCTGTATTTTTTCAGTCACTACACTTAAACTCCAGAAAGAGACCAGTTTACAGAGACAAGTGCTTTTCTTTTGCTTGTCATTGCGTCTAAATAAACATGACTTTTTATTCTCTGAGCTAATAGTTCAATAATATCAGAATAATGTTGCAAAGAATTAGTGCATTTCATCATCTCTGAACAAAAAAGATAAGGATGAAAACCAATACTGGATGGTCCAGATCTTCAGGCCCTCAGGAGGCACTGCATAAAAAAACAGGACTCTGTAGTAGAAATCACTACATGGGCTTAAAATACATCCAGAAAGAAAGTTTGTCACTGCATCCATCAATGCAGGCTAAAACTGAACCGTGCAAAAGGAAACCAGACACAAACATGGTCCAGAAACCCCAGAGACTTCTCTGGACTTGAGCCTTTTTAAGATGAACTGAGGGGAAATGGAAGTAGAAAAGTAAAAAGTAGAGGCATCCCTGCTGGTAGAGGGACCATAAGTGTCCATGGCATTGGTAGCTTACACATCTGTGAAGACTCTATTAATGCTGAATAATATAAACAGGTTTTGAATCAACATCTGCTGCCATCTAGACAAGGATTTTTTTTCAGGGAAGACCTTCATATTTCAGCAAGACCATGTCAAACCACATTCTGCGTGTATTACAACAGCATGGCTCTGTAGTAGAAGAGTCCTGCTGCTAAACTGGCCCCTCTGCAATCCTGACTTGTCACCCTCTGAAAACATTTGTAGCATCATGACACAAAAATAGGACAAAGGAGGCCCTGAATGTGGTGAAATCCTATATCAGGCAAAAATGTGACAACCCTTTCACTCTCCAAACTCCAGGATCTGGTCTCCTGGGTTCACTAACATTTACAGAGTGTTGGAAAAAGGAGAGCTGATAACACAAAAGGAGTCATGACCCTGGGATTACTTTTTATGAAATGTAGCTGGCATCATATTCAAAATGAGCAGATTTTTTAATTGAATAAAACTTTGAGTTGCAACAAAATCAATTGTCTGTTGTCTCACTTGATATGTATCTAAAAGTTATCTACTATTTACACAAGAGTTATAAGTCTGATGGCTGTTGGTACAAAAGATCTTCTGAATCTTTCGAAGAGAGAGAAGCCGTCCACCACCATTGACCTTTTGGTCCATCAAGGTGTTGTGAAGTGGGTGATCCATGTTCTTTAGAAATGATAGATATATATATTCTTTGCCCTAATATAGCATCTTAATTTATATGGGATTAGGGCTGTTGTTGGATTATCATTCGTTTTTTATATCTGTAAAATTAAAAGTGTTGAACAGATTTCTAAGGAGGGAAAAAAAGTACTTTGTGAGAAGAAAGATCCTCCAGATGAAAGCCTCCAACAATCAGTCCAACTGTGAGACTGATTTAAGGAAATCTGGAAAACCGACAGGGGGCGTCTCTTCTCCCTGCATGTCCCCTCCCTCCCTCCCTCCTCCTCCTCCTCTTCTTTCTTCTCCTCCTCTTCAGCGGTGGAAGAAGGAGGTATTGGGGATCTCCTCCTAGACAACAAACCCACATTCAAAGAGGGGGCACACGGATTACGTCACGCTGCGTGTGGAGGATAAATCGGAGGTCGCGGGTTTCACGGACTCACTGCTGAATCTGTGGAGGAGACCGAGAGCATCATGCCGAGCCCGCGCGCACGGACTCCGAGGAGACATCAGAGTATTGTCACAGAGTTTGAAGTGAAGAAAAGTGTCCACTGATGCAAATGGAGAGAATGATTTTATTCCTGTGAGGGATTTTCATCATGGGAGTTTTTTAAAAGGACATCAAAGACGCTGCTTCGGATACCTCTCACGCGTAATTACGCACAAGACAGCGGCTCTGTGTGCGCACTGATCTCATCTCCGGACCGTGTGTCATGGATCAGCCTCAGCAGTGTGTGACCATGTATCTGCTCGTGCTCTCCCTCGGACTCTTAATGGACAGGGGGATCTGTCAGCACTACTACCTCCTGCGCCCCATCCCGAGTGACAGCCTGCCTCTTGTGGATTTAAAAGAGGACCCGGACCCGGTTTTCGACCCAAAGGAGCGGGACCTTAACGAGACTGAGCTGAAGAGCGTGCTGGGGGAATTTGACAGCCGCTTTTTGTCCGTTTTACCCCCCGTGGAGGACAGATTCACCGGGAATGATGAGTTGGAGGACTTTGAAATCCAGAAACCCGGTGGAGTACTCCCGAAGGAGATCCGCGCTGTGGATTTCGACCTCCAATTCGGGAAGAAGCACAAGCCGAGTAAGAAGCTGAAGCGGCGGCTGCAGCAGTGGCTGTGGGCGTACTCCTTCTGCCCGGTCGTGTACACGTGGACCGACCTGGGGAACAGGTTCTGGCCGCGGTTCGTGCGCGTGGGGAGCTGCCTCAGCAAGAGGTCGTGCTCGGTGCCGGAGGGGATGGTGTGCAAACCCGCGAACTCGACCCACCTGACGGTGCTCAGATGGAGGTGCGTGCAGAGGAAAGGGGGGCTGAAATGCGCGTGGATACCGGTGCAGTACCCCATCATCACGGACTGTAAATGCTCCTGCTCGAGCTGAAAAACAGACTCAAACATAAATTATAAGCTCATTATTTTTGTGATTCTCTCTCACGTGCACTACCGAGTGTAGGAATGTATTTTCTGTATATGCGGTGCCATGCAGTTCTATATAGCTCCCTGTACAAAGTCAGTATTATTTTGTAACCAGAGTCTACTTTATTTGTGGAGATATTGGTTCTATATTTTGTATTTATGGAGATATGGCACGCGGAGCCACGTAAGGACTTGCTTCTTTATTTTTTCCATATTTGGATGAAGCAGATCGACCTCAGAGTGGATTATTGACACTGCCATGTATCTGTGACCTGTTTTATCCTGTAAATTAAGGAAATGTGCTATTTATTCTTTATATTCGTACAATAAACGACACTGAAACGACTTCCCTTTCTTTCTTTGGGTCACTCTTACGCGGTCACCTGCCTCTGAGCACTCAAAGTGTCACGCTAACACCATTTTACGCATCACCTACTTTTTACAATCATGCACTTATACACTGCTCCATGGTGTCAGGGTTAATCCGTATAAACGTTTATGTCACAACAATTAAACAAAAGAGGATTCTGCCATCAAGTGGAGGTGTTTGGAAACAGATATACCAGATTAATTAATCCAGTTTGTGTTGATTTATAGACACTTAAATTACCTCTTCTATCCTCAAGTCAACCAGAACTATCTCATCCTTGTAAATCTGTTAAGTCAAACATGAGATCTTGTTACATGCTGATAAAGGAAAGAGCAGAGATATGGTGATTGAAGGAATCAGCTGCTAACAGTTCTCACTCTTTGGTCTGTAACACTCCTCCTCCACATTTGCGGCACAGCAGGAGCCAAGGAGGAAAGAAGAGCTGACTTTCTGCTCTGTAGAAGTGAAGAAGTCGAGGCAAATGCTTCTTGTGTCTCTCTAGATTTCTGTAACCATTAGAAAAAAGAAGCAGATCATTTCAAAATCAAACAAAAACATTCCAGATACTGCAGGCAGCCTCATCAGTTTGGCTGCCGTTGGGTGATACTGGCGAAGGGAGTGAAAAAGTGAGTTTTGAGCCCACTGTCATGCACCCTGCTGTGATTTTTTTTTTGTCTGAATCTCCACAGTCAAATTTTCCTCCGCCTAAATGACAGCATATAAAGTCTATAACAGTTACTGACAGGTGTTGGATACAGAGTCTATCATGACGTTTATAAGAAGTGACGCAAGTATAAACCAAATGTTGAAGGCCAAAAACACTACAGCAGATTCTTCATGTCCCAGTTTAAAGCACTATCAGTAGGTGAGATGCTGGGTAAACATGACTTTAAAATAGACAATAATCAATTAAATTAAACTTAATTAACCCGTAAAGTAATAAGTAATAATGATTGATAATCAGAGAAGAATGCTAGATTGAGCAGTAAAACATCTCCTGAGGTTAAATTTCACTAGAATATTATTTATTTGGTCATTCAATTCAGACGAATATTTATTTTATGATGAATTTCTCTACATTAAAAACTAAACCACGCCAGTTCATCACCAAGACTCTTAGTTTGACTTCATGGACTGTCATAAAATATTAGTGAATGTACATTTTCTGTGAGGATTAGGTGTTAGATAGGATATACAATTATGATTTACCTTTTAACTTTCATTGGTTTGTGTATCAATAAAATTATTTCTTATTATTAAGCCGCTCTGACGCAGTTTACTGGGTTATAGTTTTAACCTGCAATAGTTGATACAGTGATAACCTGTGTTCTCAGACCATGGTCAGTGATCTATCCAGCAGAACATAAAAGTTCCTCATTACCCAAAGCATCTATGGCTTGAGTTTAATCTCAAAATCACACAACCTCAATGCCTCAACTGTCTAGATGGCAGCATATGTTGCTCCAAAACTTGTTTATAACTTTCAGCATTAATGGCGCCTTCACAAATACAGTATGTGATCCCCGTACCATCAGGGATGCTGGCTTTGAACTGTGTCCTCAGAGAGGAGGATGGATGCAGTGTCAATGATTTAAAAAAAGGTCAAAATTTGGATTCATCAGACAATGAGACAGTTGAAGTTTCTGGATGCAGCAAAAACTGTCCTCATGGACTGTGTTTTTGGAATTTATATAGAGCCTATGTGGTAACTTCCACTACAGAGTCCTGTCTGTTTTCAGTGCAGTGCTGCCTGAGGGCCTGAAGATCAGGACCATCCAGCATTGATTTTAGTTCTTGTTCCATTTGCACAGAGATTTCTCCAGATTCTCTGAGGAACATTACTCTGAAATTGTTGAACTACTAGCTCGCGCAGTCTCTCACAGGGTGGTGAACCCCTTCCTAGCTTTCCTTTCCAGTCATGTTACCAACCTGTTGTAGTTGGGAGATGTTCCTCCAGCTGTAACTTTTTACCTCATGGTTGTTCCTTTGACTTTAAAATGAGTCCATATCTTTTCACAAAAACAACTATTCATGATACGGTTTGTACTTTTCAAGACATGATATAACGACTCTAAAGTGTGTTGATATTTTCTTATGCATTCATAGCAATAAATTCCTTAAAACGCTCTAGTTTTATGCCATATTTCGACTGGTAAAATGTTGCAGTAAAACTTATGAGGCTTTCCAAAAACAGCAGAAATGCCTGTTCTACATACAAATTTGATGTATAAGTTTGTTTTGCCATTAATACTTTGATTTAAGTGCTTTTTCCTCTAGTGATTTTTTTTCACCGTTAAGGTTCAGTAGAGGCACTTTGACTGCAGTAAACTACATTACACACATTATGGCATCAAACAGCTGTAATTGCTTCACATCTTGGCAGTCAGGTACCCTCCTCTCATTTTACTACCACCACATAATGGCTGTTCCTACTGACTCTGACGATGCTAATTCATCTCGTTCTGTTTCTGTTTTCCACGGCGTCACGGTTTTTCCCGTGTCATCTTATTCCAGAGTTTTATTTAATGTCTGCACCGTCACTTCCAAACAGAAATACTGCGGCCGTCTTGAGCATTAATTTATCTGCGATAGCTTAAAATTCAAACTGATATTTTTGCACTTTTGGAAACTTGAGGAGCTCCAGCTGAATCTGAAAAAAAACTGTGGTTTGAGTAGAGTTGGCTGAACAATGTGAGTTCAGATGACCCACCAATGGCTCCATCTTTGCTCCATTTAGGAAGTAAAAATTAATGGTTTACGATAAATTAGCTGCTCTAATCGCTGAGTTTTGTGCTTCTTCCTCTTCGCTCTCACTGCCTCAGGACGACTCCCCCCTCCTCGTTTTCTTCCACAGCCTCAGCCGGGCAGACTGTGGGGCACCAGAAAGCCTGTGTTTTGTTTTAGTTGTGTTTAGTCCGTAATGATGCTCCTTAGCCTCAGAGCCAACTCTGCACGTACACAAGCTGCAGACAAATCCTTCTTCTTGTCACTGGATAGCAATGTAAGGGTGAAGATCTCCACTATACAGCCTAAACAAACACAGTAAATAGCCTCTGATCTGCATGTGTATGTTGGATCCTCAGTGTTTCACGGTTATCCCAGAGTCTTTTCCATGATACCGTTTGTCCTGCGGCGTTGAGCTCCCAGCGGTCTGGATTTACAGCTGACAAGCTCCCTGGATATCCACCTATTTCAGGTTATGCATGTCACAGTTGAGGCTACCACAAGGATTAAAGGCCGAACATTTGACAGCTGCCCCGGAAAAATCACGTAATATTTCATAAAACCTTGAATTTTCTGCTTTATTTCAACCTGATTTTCTCCACATTTTAGATTCAGGTATTAAATCATGTAATCACATATTATTCATTATTTGATTTGTAAAGTGTTAAAAGGACATGAATTACAATGATTCAATAAGATTTAAGGATTAATATTAGACCATACTAGGGCTACATGATTTTGGCCAAAAATGAAATCCAGATTTTTTTTTTTCTCGGAATACTTGATTTTCAATTTTGCTTTTATAGCAAAATGGCAACTTCATCAAACTTCACTTTAATAATAAGTTTTTCGATCATCTCTCAAAACAAAACCACTGAAAACGATGTAGTGCATATGCCAAGTCAATAAGTGGCGCTGTAACGCAGCAGAGGAGATGCACAAAAGACAGAAGAAGAGTACAGAGCATGCAAAGAGTTACGCTGTGTGTCACATAATCGTTTCGAGATGCAGATAGGAATCCACACCGAGATTAAATGGTAGTCATTTATGGATCTATGTACTCTCTGACCCATTTCCGAAAAGTACCATTTATAGTCACCCGAAATGCCATTTCTGTTAGGATGAAACGGCAATATGACAAAACACTTTTGCATTTACTCTTGAATTCGTTTCTGTATGGATGGGTTGTTACCGCCTTCAGACAGACTTGGCAGCAGGGAGTGGTTGGCTCTTCACCCGAAACTGCGAAGCTGTACCAATTCCACACGACTGACTTGCTTTTGCCTTATTTAGCCACAAAATTATTGCCTTCTTTTGCAAACGCCATGTTTGTTTACACTGGTGTGTGTGGGAAGGGGGGAACCTACAGTGGCCTGGAGACACAAGACATGATTGAGAGGAAAACTGATTTGACGATTTTTTTTAACATCGTCATTATCAAATAATTTGATTACGATTTAAAGTAATGAATTGTGATATGATTAGGGTGACCATACGCCCTCTTTTACCCGAACAACATTTTGGGGGCTGTCCAGGCTGTCCGGCTTTATCTTTATCCCCCCCCCCCCCCCCCGCTTAGTCGTGTCCTCTTTTTAGAAAGTCAGAATATGGTCACCCTAGATATGATATATTACAATACAAATGAAACATATGAATAAACCAATGCATGGGGGTTATTGTTGTTAAAAACCAACAATGACCCCCATGTCAACGGATAACTCATGCAATTGACTCCACTAGCAGCCAGTTGACACATATAGTATGACTGGTAGTGCTATTATTGGTCCACTTGATCCAGATCTCATTGAACAATAAAAGTATATATTTTTTTTAAACTTTTGTTGTAATTTGAAGCTGTTTAAATAATACTGACTGATTGATTTGCAGCAAATCTTTTAATAACGACCACTTATTTTGAACAAAAGTCCTCCTCCTGTTTCTTATCATATCTCTGAAACTTCCCCAGTGAGTTTCTCTCTCTCCTCTGTTGTTGCTGTAGCACGGGCAGAGAGCTGACGCCGGTCGGATGATTTGTGTGCAGAGTAATATGTGTTGACAGGGTGCTTGGTGCCTGTTAATACCAGCTGCAGACGGAGGATGCGGCGCTGCTAATGCCCGTCGTCACTTCTGAGCCGGCTCTCAGCGCTGAGCGCCGTCCTCAAAGCGTGAAGCTCAGAGAGACTGTAGATACCTGGGCGGGCAGGCAGGCAGGCAGTGCAATGCTTTTAGCCACCAGTAATCCATTAACTTAATGATCTCTCTGGGTTTGGACTTGTTTTATTACCTCTGCACTCCCTCCTCCCTTTAACCTAATCAACTTTCTTTTTTCTGGATGGAGATATACTCTGAAGCCAAAACCTTGCTGCTGATTAAACTCTCCTACAGGGTTCAGATATTTCCCTGATCAAAGCAAACTTCTCCTTGTTAGTTTAGCCAACAATATCAAACACAAGCCATTCATTTTACATTACAGAAGATACAATTAGCCTTAATAACTTTGACTGGCTCATTAATAGGCCAGAGGTAACCTCTGTGGCACCTTCATTATGAATATAAGAATGTGCAGAGGCCGGCTCAGGGCGCTGGGTTTGTTTATTCAAAGAAAATCACAAATTTCAAATATGCTGTTTAACAGTTTGGCACATGAAAGGGTGTGCAGTAACCATCAGGTCTGAACGTTCTGAATACACTCAGACCACAACTCTGTGATAAAGTAATACTGAACAGATTTTGTGATCCTCATAACGGTAGTTTCTAGGAAAAGTTCAGTGAGACAAAATTCATTTGAACCCAAAATGCAACACACACTGCATGATAGGAAGATCAGGATTGTATCTTGATGATTTCTGGAAATACACTGATCCTCTCTGTAAGATAGAAAAGCCCCAGATGTTGAAGAAAGATGCAGTTTTATTTTAGTAATGTCATATTCAGCAAACTATTTGGTTGGAGTTTTGGCGCTGTGGACAGGTGCAAAGTCCTGCTGGTAAAGGAAATGGCATCTTTATGAAGCTTCACAACAAACCCCCCAAATTTCAATGAGTATTTCAATGAGTATTTCGCCCTATTGCTAGTAAAAAGTCACACTAGGATTAATTTATGTTACATTTTCCTTACAGGTTCAGAAAATGAGCTTATTTTAGGACATAACGTGTCAAAAATAAGGGGTGAATTGCTTGCTAGGGGTAAAAAGTAATCTACCAATGGAATAGGAAACCAAAATTTCATCAAATTTGACAAAAACACTAAGATTTGAGTTTTTGCAGAGTTATTGGCAGTATGAAAACTTGACTCTGGATTTGATAAAACCAAAAACAGCAAGATGACATGGCAACCTATACACTGGACTTAAAGCACTTTGGATTCTGGGCCTCCACTCTCTCTCCAAACTTGTTGCATTTCTATCTTTTGGACCCAAATTAAAATTAAAAATTTTCTGTGGTTACCATTCCGTGAAAAAAATACACAAACATTTCAACAAAGCTTTCAGTAAGGAAACAAAGCCATTGGGTTTCTTCTAAAACACCAACTTGACCTATATCTTCAGATCTATTCCATGAGTATTTCAGAGCGTGTCAGGGAAGACAAACCCTGCTTTAATGACCTGAGCGATTTGTCCACATTCATCTGTCAATATGGTCAAATATAAAGAGGACGCTTTCATTCACTGTCCAGATGTCCTGCAGCTCCAGCTGAGGCCTCAGGAAACCTCTTGAATGAAGGCAGGTGTTCAGTCCTCACTGATCAGGGAACAGCTGCTCCTGTTGTTCGCACAGCTCCTTGAGTAAAGCACTTTTGTGTTTTCCAACCTTTTTTTTTTTAGTTCTAGTGCTTTTGTGGAGTGTGAACTTGAGGTGTTCAGCTCAGTACAGGCTGTTTCAGTCAGGGGCTGATGGTTTGTAGATGGAAGCGCAAAGCAATGTTCTCACTATTCCACTGAAAATGATACCGACCACTTTCTAATCTGCTCAGTGTACTTCATTCACAAAAGTTTTAATTCACTTAGTTGTCACTCTTGACATATGAGAAAGCTATTTTCAAGTTATTCTTTAAAAAAGCAACAATACCTTAGAAATGTGGAGCAAAGACTATGAACTCCTCCAGAGTTTAAATTTAGACTAACGATAGAAAATTAAACATGGCTTGGTGAAGTTACTTTGGAGTCACAAAACAGCTTGAGATTAATCCCTTTGTAGTTAACTTCTTAGGCTGTTATAGCTTAGCGGTAGCTTTGTAATATTAGTTGCTTTAATTTACCTACAGAGCTGGTGGGTGTTTCTTTCTACACAGCTTTGGAGCCACAAGCCAACTTGACAGATATTTCTTCGTAGACAACATATGAGGCTAGCTGTTCATGCCCTATTGAAAGTTTTGTGTTAGCTTTTGTCCCATCAGTTGGTGCTATTGTGTGACTTACTCATGGATGATGGGTGTTACTTTTTACACAACTTTGTAGTTGTGAAAAGACCCAAAAGTTGTGCAATTACAGAAACAGCTGAGCCTCGCTGTTGGCACCAACAATAGCTTCCCGTTGCACACTCACTATCATTACGTTATTGCCACACTCAGTACGTTTATATGAAACTTGAGAAAACCGAATTATTGCCTTACTTGAATTAAGACCAGACAACTGAAGTGCATGTAAACACCTAAGTCCAACTAAAATCAGAGTTTGAGAACTCCCATTGGAGTCGGAGAACTCCGATTAAGGCTCTACTCTACCTTGTAGCCAGCGTAATCGGAGTATGATAGGACAATGCATGTGCCCCGGTAACCCCGGAACAAAAACACCAGAGAAGTGGAGTAGCGTTCACCTCATGTGCAGAAAAAGTAGCGTGTACACCATGAACGACAAAAACAACGCTGTACGATGCTCCATCTTCTTGCTCGAAAATGCCGAGCAGCCATTGTAGCCACTTTTGACAGCTGGCACGGACCTGCTGTTGTTGTTCATAGTTGTATGGGGTAGGAAACAGCACCTCTGAAAAGACCCATATCGCCCCCTAGTTTTGGGGTGGAGGACGTGTTCACATTAATAATTTGATTTCCTCAGCTGCACTTATTTGCGTACAAGGAGAGAAGTCCAATTTGGCAAAAAAAATGAATTATGAGCTCAGTCCGATTAAGCTGTGCATGTAAACGCACTGACTGTTAAGCAACAATTGCCGGTCTCACAAGTGAGTGTATTTTAAAGTAAGTCATGACATTGTGCTGTTCTTTTTTTAGAGACTATATTGCATGTACAACAACATTATGTTGAATACATCAACCAAAGACTGAAATTAGAATAGACGTCACTAGTTTTCATTCATTGTGAACTTTGTAGAAATAAAAACCCTCTGCTGGTGGCGACACATGCCGGTATAACTTTGGTGTCGTCTTAGAGAGCCATCATCCGTGCCATCAAAAGATGTTAATGTTAAAAATTACTTGTTTATGACATTTTGAAGTCATCCAGTGTGTAACCTGCCCTAAGAGACCAGTTGTATCAAAACTTGAGCACCATTTCCCCCTTCTTGGCAAACCTGTTACAGCTTTTGCAGACTGCAATCATGTTCTCCTTCCTGAAAAGTTATAAAATATCCCCCATAATCAGCTAATAACTTTGAGGCCATCATGCGTCCTGTAATTTTTGTGAAATGAAGTTACAGAAATCAGTGAGCAGTAAACATAAGGAGTGAGCAGTTTGTTGGTGTGCAGTCCTCTGAAAAGCAGACACGTCCTGTCAAAAGTTTTATTTGTTTGGTAAAGGATGCTGTTTGGCATGCAGCCCAGCTCATTGTGCTCTCCCACACATAGATAATTGGAAAGCTTTTGAAATATCCTCTCTGCCGCTGCCGTCCTGGTCACGATGTTCAAAACTGGGATGCGTGGAAAGGTTGATGTTGATTTTTCCTGCATTTTTTTTGTCGGCTGTAAATTTCTTTGGGTTGGGTTTGATGACTTGTGCGGGGGTGATCCTACTGTTTGATGTCCAGAGCTCGTTAATCCAAACCTCATATGGTATGCAAGGTCAGACCCGATACTTTGATGTGCACGGGCTAGCGCTGCCAAGTCTGGAGAGTCGAGAGGGCATCGCTGGTTTGTGAAAGATCAGGAACTGTAGCAACCCTGACACATTTTGGCTTTTGTCCACTAACTACTGTGAGGATGAGGTCTGGTTTGTTAAAGGGGCCTCAACTCGAGCAGAGAGTGCACACAGAAACGTTTCCTGAGAGGCAGGATTGAATACAAATCTTTCCCCGAGCATGCGAGGTAATTGGAAAATGCACGGAACTTCTGTGATTTTCCTCTGGGAGGAATTGAAGATGAAAGCTTTGAGATAAAACTGAACACATAAACCGAATATTAGCTATAGAGTCCTTATTTGTTTTGTTAGGACTGACCATGATTGTCTTTTTGAGTTTTAGCTCATAATCACAACTGATTCGCAAGAGCGCAAAACCTGCATGCATCTTTGGTTCATCTTCCTTAGAAACGAGGAGAAATGAGTAGAAACAGTGTGTTTGTTATGTAAAATAAAGCAACAACAGCCCCCGCTGTGCACCCAGCGCAGGAATTCAGTGCAATTAACTCTTAAGCGTCGCATGTAAATATGAAGGATTGGGGCTCCACGGGCAAGCCAGCACTCACTCGCTCACTCACTCGCTCACAGGGATCCTGCGCCTTTGTTCTACCGGGGCTTTGGCTGGCCGCCACACTGCCTCAGTTGGCGGCACCTAGCTATAATTTTCTCACAATGGCTGGCGTGTGAGCCGTCCATCATTCCTCTCCTGTGTCTCCCTGTTTTCTCCCGAGCATCTCCCCCCCCCCTCAGCCTCCTCTCCGCTGGCACTTCTCGAGCCTGGAGCCGATTCAGGTTTACCCGTTCCTCGGCACTCGCCAAGTCTCTCCTATCACTCTGTCATCTTACACAACCAAACAAGCCGCCTGAGGTTATTTATTAATTCGCTGTCTTCACACTTGGCTAAGCTTTGATCAGATGTTAAGTATCTGAAGACATCAATTATGGAGGGCTGTAAGATCTCTGCAAATTGTTTCCAGATCCAACTCTTTTTGATTTCTCCTCTGACCTACAACTTTCTGAAACTTAAACCCGGGATTTCAGCTCTGTTGATATTATTTCTGGTTCCTAAAATTGTCACTCAGGTTTCACTTCACACCAACCACATTATGATACTGGAAAGGGTGCAAAGGAGGTGACGGAGTGTTTGGAGAGGGATACAAACCAGCAGAGATGATGGAGCTGTTTGATGTGGATTTTATGAGTCATTGTTTGATGTTTGTCACATCGCTGAGTACACATGGGTTTCGTCATCAGTCTTTCTGCTCCAGCGATTTAAAATTCGGGATTTGCAACCACAAGATTTTGTAAAGACATGTAGTTAGCGAGTTCTTCAATTAGGGCTGGCAAACGATTTACTTTTTAAGTCTTAATTGATTTCATGATTTTGTATAACTGGGGATTCAAAAGAAATGAATTTTGTAAGAAACAGCTTAAATTGTTTGTTTAATTTATAATAAAATGACTTTAGGAAGATATATACATTCTTGGCTCTTCGCTAAAAATTAGTAACACCATCACGATCACCGGGTGATTTTACCCGAAATAATATACCCAAGAAAAAGTACTTGTCAACAAAACATATCAAAATAGGACAAAACATGACAAATTAAAGTAGTTTATTTTATTTTTAATCATGCAATATCCAAAGGGAGGGGAATAGTGCCATGAGGGGGCCATATAAAAATGCAACAAAAAACTGAAATCAGGCAATCATGAATAATAATATCATGATCAATACCCTATTTACATATGGTTGTCAGAGTCATGAAAGCGATTATGAATGCATGCAACAACCTGAGATTATCTGACAATGATAGATTTCAGCCACCCTCTAAAACAGGACTATCAAAAGTTCATAAAACTTTAAGGTTATGAGGAGCGAGAGCCCCGGAGCATCAGAAAAACGAGACTAGAACAACTTCACGGCTCCGTCCTGATGACTGAGCACCATCATTAACACGCCTGTGGTTTGCTGATATAATTGCTCTCTGTCAAGGTGCTGCACAAACACGTCACATAGATAAATCCTGTATGTTTTACCGGCAGGACGTAATCCCACATTTCAGTAAGAGATTTAAACAAATCTGTTCGTCACAAAGAAACATTTCTTCATCGTGTATTTCACACTTATTGGAAACCTGACTGACAGGTATCTCACGTTCATCCTGCAGGTTTAATGCTCATAGATTTGCGCCTTAAAGGCGTTTCAGAAGTTATTATTAGTCATGAAACTGTTCCAACATGTAACTCCTCCTCTGACCACAGATTGGTGTTTTCACGTTTCTGTTTGTGTAAGAGTCAAACAAACAAGAAACAACATGTAAATTAGTGAGATGCAAGGAGAGAGCTGGACTAGATGTTTCCCCACACATGCATACTGTAGCTAAGCTCTCTCTGAAGTTTCTGCTCCATATCAAACACACAGATATGAAAATGAAGTAAGTTTTCTTGTCCGATTCTCAACTAAAAGGTTATTTTGTACTCAAATTGATAATGTACTTGGTTGATATTTGGTGGATTTCTTGGATGCATCCCATCCCCCCTTTCTTCTCTTGCTCACCACCACAGAAGGTGGGCGTCCCATTTCTTTTGAGGATAAATGCAGATGCCTGGTGGTCATTTAGCACCTCGGTCATCTTTAACAGCACTTTTATTTCTAACAGATTAGAGCTGCCACACATGTTGTTCAAGAGCTGCATCAGCGCCAAAACAGTTTCTGCTTTCTACACATGGTTCTGGCCAAATCTAGACGGTGAGATGGCCTGTGGATTGACATATCACCAGCAAGATTGCACCTTTCACTACAGGGATTAGTTACAGATAGTAAATGACCTCAAAAAGCATCTGTAAAAACATATACAAGAGCAAAGACCAAGCCTTATAAGGCAATCGTGTTTTATTTTTATTTGTGTAGAAAGATTCTGATGCATGAAGCGTCAAGAGCAGCAAATGCAAAGACTTGAGAAGAGTTCTTGAAACTTTAACAGTTGGAATAGCTGAAGTCTTGTGTCATTTTCCCAATGGTCTGCAGCTCAAACCTTCAGTTATTTCCTCTGTTCGTTAAGTGAGCAAAGCTGCCTGAACAGACAGACAGACAGAAAGGAAGAACACTATTAAAACTGAGGAACACGGGAAGCAGGCGGCAGAGGATGGCAGCCTGCAGATTTATCACCCAGCAGAGGAGTGGAAAGAAGTGCAGCTCGTCTGGAGAGCTGGTTTCCACTTCACTTTAATTCAGTGTGAAGTGTTCAGGACACACGAGTGTGGTTTGGGGGAAGATAAATGGGAAACCCATGCAGGCTTTTTTCCATCCAGACTGACACCTCTCTGCATTCTGATCTGTCATGAACCCTTCTGACAAGCTGCTGCGGTTAATTTGCAGCATGTCGGTTCAGGATTTTAAGCGCTCTTATGTTCGAAATTTCCAAATTTGTTTACATATGCTGAAATAGTCTCACTCCAATCCAATTTTATGTTTTCACCCAGGAATATTACTGTCAGCCTTCAGTTTCTGGATATTTAAGAAGTGAGTCCAGGAGTATTTCAGGAACTATCTGCCACCTAGTGGTGCACATATGTGCAGATGTTTCCCCACAGCTGCACACGCAGATCTGCTTGTCTGAATTACTGTAAGCAATGCAGACCTATTTCAAGCATTGGATTTTGGCTGATATATAATCACAGTATCAAAACCCACTCTGTAAACTAATGACAAAACCAACTATGATGGTTTTCATATCATTTATACCCTTTTTATTCGTTTGAAAATACTTTAAATACAACACACTGAATATTAAAACTGAAAAAAACATTGTTTTATGAGAAATAGATGCTCATTTTGAAGCGACACATTTAAAAAGTTGTTAAAGGAGCTACCATCAGGTAAAAAGTTGTGTAGCGCTAAAAACAGCTGGAGAAACATCTTATAAAGTTGATTAACAACAGGTTAGTAACATGACAGAGTATAAAAGAGACATTCAGAGAGGCTGAGTCTTTTAGAGGGAAACATAGGAAGAGGTTGACCACTCTGTCAGAGACTGTGAAAGCAAAGTTCAGAATACATTGTAAGAGAATGAGTAGATTTTATCATTTACAGTATGTATTTTTTTAAACTCAAGATAGCCTTTCGTCGGTCATCTGTGGCAAGTTAAAAAGTCCTCACCTGGTCTTTTGTGTATGCATCTGTGTGTGTTTTGATATCCTGTGTGAATGGACAACACTTTGTGCTACATTCTCTGTATGAAAAGTGCTTTAAAAATAGTGTTTGATTGATTGATTGATTGACAATACCATTGAAGTTTCAGAAAATTTGGAGAAATCTATGTACAAAAAGGACAGTGACCAAAACCTAAACTAGACGGTCCTGGTCTTCGGGCCCCTAGGCAGCACTGCGCTAAAATCAGAAAGGATACTGTCGTGGAAATCACTGCATGGGCCGAGAATCTACTGTCTTGACCTGTGGAGTGAGGAAAACAAATGTGGAAATAAATCATTGACATTGCATCCTCCTCAATAAAGAGAAGAGGGACCGCTTTGCTTATTATCAGCTCCCAGTACAAAGCCAGCATCCCTGATGGTACAGGGATCAGAAGAGTCCACAGCATGGGAAGCTTACACATCTGTAATGACTCCATTAACGCTGAAAAATTTAAACAGATTGGAGAGCAACATATGCTGCCATCCAGACAATGACAAACCACATTACAACAGCATGGCTCTGTAGTGGAAGAGCGAGACAACATCTCACTTTCTAAACTCCTGAATCTGGTCTCCTGGGTTCAGTAACGTTTACAGAGTGTTGGGAAAAGAAGAGCTGATGACGCACAATGGGAAACATGATCCTGTCCCAAAATGAGAATATTATTCATATGTTGTCTTTGCACTATTTTAATTTAAATACAGAGTTCAAATAAAAGATAATTATCAGTTTTTTTACCTTAGGATATTTTATAAGCTCGTATTTTGTCAGTATCTCCCCCTGATGTGTGTTTGAAGACATTCCCCCTGTACTGGCTGTTGGAAACCTGCACTAAATGGCATGTTTGATGGAATAAAATTACTCAGCCCTTATATTTGGAGGTCATTGGCACGTTAATGGCTGTTTTATTACCGTAGCGTGTTAACCTGAAACGCTGCTTGCCATCTAAGAAGAAGCCGAGGAGCTGCATGAAAATGATTACACCGCAATTACGGCGGCCACTTTGTTGCGACTCCTCGCTGCCCAGCTGTCTGCTGCCTGCTGCCAAGAAATGGATTAGTTTCACCGCTTCTCTAATAAGACTGTTAGAGCAACAGCATGAGCTGAAATAAATGAATGAAAGCTGCAGATGGAGGGACAGAAATAGATGAATACTGTCAGGCTGCCGTGTGTCTCCCTCCAGTCAGAGTTGGGAAAGTGGCAGCACTAAGAGGAGATTCTCATTATCTGTGAACAGCCAGAAGACTCTCAGAAAGCTGTCAAACCTTCTCACACAGGACAGGCCGACGTCAAACAGAGAGGGTTTTGTATCCCTGGAGGGCAAGAGCACAACCCAGGCGGTGATAAAACTCAAGCAGACCATGTTGGTCCTGTAAACGTAATCTGCAAAGTGTTAATTACAACCTGGCGCCTCTGTGAAGCTGTGTGTGCTGGAAGTCAGCTGAGTCGTCAGCGGCATCCTGATCTCCTTCCCAAACAACACGGTCCGAGCCATGGCGACAGCCCTGGAAACGAGATTTTCTCTCTGTTGACGCTCCCGTTTGAAAGGGCCGCTTTAAACAAATTAAGAGCCGGTGGGATGCTGTGTTTGTGTGCAGCCCTTTCTCGTCGGGGGTGGGGGGTCGCAGCCGGAGATCCTGTGTTGTTTACTGTCATTCATGTGAGGGGCTGACAGTTTGTGTGTTTACCACACACAACCTCTCACAGATGACACTCAATGAAAACGCTCTTTACACGGCAGTGCGGCCCACACAGCAGTAAGACGCCATGTCTGAGAGCTGCAATCATTAATTAACCCATCCATTGTCTGGAATCAGGGGGGACTTTAGTGTTTCTGTGTTTTAATAAAGTCACTTTCATTGATTGTTATTTTTTAATGACTTTATTAAAGGACTATTTGAGTGGACTGCCTCAGCCTGCAGCTGCAAAAAGCTCAGGATTTGAACTTTGAGTTAAAAAAACAGTCTTTAATCTTATAAATCTCACTAAAAATGCCCAAGTTCTAACTTTAATTGCAACTTTATTACTTTAAATGTAGAATTCTGACTTTTACATAGGAGTTCTGCTTTAAACCTCAGATTTATAAATTTTTATCAAATTCTGACTTTAATCTCAAAATTTTGACTTTAAAAGTCTGAAAAATCTTATTTTCTACTTTCTGTTTAACTTAAATCTTTTAACTAAAATTCTGACATCGATCCTAGAGTTTGACTGAAGTTTTTTCTTTTTTTTTTTTTACAAATCTTAGAACCCTGACTTCAATCTTGATATCCCTACTCAAACTGCCTTTTTTCATGTTCACAGTCACAGTGAAGACTTTTAGGTGCTAAAACATAGCATGATTACATTCTTTTCTGAAGACACTTACAAGACAAAGTTATCACTTTGTCCACAGGGGGCGCTAAAATCAATGCAGAAAACTTCCTGACAGTATAGTAGCACTTTCTCCACCTGTTAGACTGAAATGAGAGGGATCAATCACTTATTGTAAATGGATGAATGATGGAAAGAATAAGCATTTATCAGCTGTGTTCGATCTCTCAGAGAACAAAAACAGACTTTTTGCGTTTCATCCCTACTCTCTTTGGTGAGACTTAACTCAGAAACCTCTTTTTTCGGCTCGACTCTGCAGCCCCCAGAGGCCGAGGGTTCAGTCAATAAGCCCCTCTCTTGGATTTTGTTATTTTGTTATTGTGTAATGGCCTCTGAAGGTTGAAGGATGGCTCCTCTACAGGTCTCCCCGAGGAGCAGGCCCGCTATCTGGACATTAATCTACTGCTGTGAGACAGACACGCTTGTTTAGCTAGCACAAAGCCCGGTAAGCTGTTGTCTCTGAGAAAAAAGCTGGCCGTCTCCAGAGCCACTGGAGGCAGCGAGGGCTGGAGCCAGAGTAATGACCTGTGAAATTCACCGATAGACTTGTCCTGTTGCACACAGGTCCGCCGGCACCGGGCCTTGTTTGCAGCCTGCCGCTGATTTATCAGTGTGCCTCTGCTGGTGCCATAATGGGCTTTGTGGAGTTTTATGTGGGTCGACCAGGAGACCCCAGTTTGGAGAGGATTGATGCCGTGATTGAGTGTCAAAGCTTGGACAAATCTACATGATTAAACTTGACATCTTGACATTAAAGCTGTTACTTACCTGATAGAAATCTTCAAAAGCTACATTTCAGGTTTCCAAATCATTCAGTGAAACTGTCAATATTTGAACTCCATTTCCACCAGTGTATCACAGCAATAGCTTCAAATATTTACACTGCTTTGTCCTGTGAAATGGTCAATATTTTCTCTCCTCCTCAATCAGATTAGGATGTGAGACTGAAAGTAAAGGAGGCAAAGCTTTGAAGGTGGTAAGGAGAGGAGCTGAGTCTTCCTGAGAGCAGATTATACAAAGATCAGAAGGGCAAACTCCCTGCTGGTACCTTCTGTCTGCTGGATACAGTTTGACTTTGTTACCTTGGCTTCACAGCAGAGAGAGATTCCTCCTTATTCTGCCCCGTGGGTGTTAAAGAAACGGCTCACTGAAAGGGAAATCTGTCTAATGTTGAGTTCTGCTGCAGCTCAACAACTCCTTAACTCTCAGACACTCACATTTCTGATTTTGCTCTGTTGTTTTCAGTGGATGCTCATCCAGTGTTGGAAAAATGCGGATGACCTTCCATTGTACAAAACTTTTAGAAGCCTCCTCTGGATGCACCTCTATTGTATAAAACATAGAAAAGTGCTCTGTGGAAGCTCTTAAAGTACTACAAATGTTAAAAAGAAAAAAAAGTGCTCACTGAAAGAGCCCTCTTAATTTCCAAGCAGCTTACGAATTGTCAAATAAAAGTTTCCTCTGGATTCTCTTCCAGTGTAAGAAAATGTGAAAAAAGTGCCTCCTTTGATCTTAAAACACATATAAAAAATGCTCTCTAGATGTGCCTCCAGTACGGAAAACAGAAAAAATGCATTCTGGATGTCCTTCCATGACATGAAATGTAACATAGTCCCTTCTGGATGTCCTTTAGGTTTAAGTAGATGTAAATAAGTAAATAAATAAATAAACCCCTGGATCCTCTTCCAGTTTATCAAATAAACAAACAATAATAACAAAAAACACCTTCAAGATTCTCTCCTGTTCATCAAAAAAATAATAATTCCCTCTAGAAATCTTTCCAGTATTGAAAATACAAGATATGCATTCTGGATGTCCTTCCATGTCATGAAATGTAACACAGTCCCTTCTGGATAACCTTTACGTTTGAATTAATGTAAAAAACAAAACAAACAAAAAAAAACTCTGGATGCTCTTTCAGTTTATGAAACAAACAAACAACAACAACAACAAAAACACCTTTTAGATTCTTTTTGTTGTTAAAAAAAAAAAAAAAAAAAAGAAAGAAAGAAAAAAAAATCCCTCTGAAAATCCTTCCAGTATTTAAAATATAAGATATGCATTCTGGATGTCCTTCCATGACACAAAATGTAACACAGCCCCCTCTGGGTGCCCTTTAGGTTTGAAAAAATGTAAATAAATAAGTAAATAATAATAAAAAAAAACACTGGATGCTCTTCCAGTATATGAAACAAACAAACAATATCAACAAAAAACACCTTCTAGATCTCTCCTGTTAATTAAAAAAAAAAAAAAAAAAAGTTTCCCTCTGAAAATCCTTCCAGTATTGTAAATATAAGAAATTCATTCTAGGTGCACTACCAGTACAGCGAATGTAAGAAAAATATCTGACCTCTTTGTAAGCATCATTCAGCATCATCATCTCTTCTTTCCCTTCCTACAAGCATTTCTTGTCAGAATTTAAAATAGGTTTCAGCACAGCACGAAATGTTAAACACAGGTCTCTCTGTAATGTTCTTAATACAAAAATCAGATTACATTTCAGCACCAAGATATTTTTCCAAGCGATACTGGCCAACAAGGGATGTCCTACTTAGTACTCCAAGGAAAGGTAGTTGAAAAATTGTAGCCTACTATCAACACAAACTTCATCCAAAATCTAACTTTCCACTTCTGTCAAAAGTTAGAATTTATGATTTTAGATATTTTCCACATAACATTTTAATCTCAACAGTGAAATCACTCAGTAAACGCTTCTTAGTTCATATCTGGATTTTTGTTTGGCTTCAAACTCAGTTCGTGCATAATGGCTCTGTTGTTTTAAAGGTAGCTGATTGGCAGTCAAAAAAAAAGGGATTATGTCATCAGATACCGTGACTAATCAATAGTTTTCACCCTGCCTGCTTTCCCTTCAGGTGTCCGTAAATTCACAGAGAAGGAGGCGGAGCTCGTCCCGTGTAATAAAAGTAAGCTTGGAGGGAAAAAGTGACGGATGTGGAGGGCCTGTGCCAGCAGAAAAAGCGAGAGTGGGACTGTCAGACATGTCGACTCCGGCGTGGTGATGGATGGAGAGTGAGGTAAGACAGATGACATCGTCTGTCTGAGGCCGTGTTGTCATAGTGGAGGACTGCCGCTTGTCTTAACCTCTCAATATCAGAGAGCAAACTGAAGTTTGTTTACACTGCTCCAGTGGAGTGATTTAGAGTGAGGGGGCTCAGGGGACGAGGGTGTAGAAGGTATGCTCACTGAAGGGTCGGATCAGGTTTCCAAACATACCCTTTGAAATTGAATAGCGAGCGTCCCAGGCGTTTTAAACTCAACTAGCCCCGCTTGGTTTCGACCACAGGACAGAGAGGAATCCCAACACAAATACAAACACACAAAGTTCAATATTAGGATTAGTACTGGTCTCCAAGTACACCGTTTAAGTTCAGATCAACTATGAATCTGCATACGATACAGCAGGTACTTTAAAACAGTGGGTTAACTGGAGCCCAAAGTCTGCACAGAAGAGGACAATCAATTCACTTTTTCTGACATGTCTGCTGCTACCTGGTGTGTATGCATGGTCTTGGTAGATCACAAAAAAATGGAACTGGCCTGCAGGATAAATGAAGTTGTCTAATTCTTAAAAATTAAAAGAACAGGTCAAAGTGTCAAGAATTAAGGAAAGAAAATGAAATTCAGAGAGGGTGGGTTTGGATTTTGTTGGTTTTTCTGTTTTGTTTTGACCATTGGTCAACATCTTTTACAAATGTCTGTCAAGTAGATCCATAAAGCAATAAAACAAACCCAAAAAAACTGTGACGGACAAACTAACTAGCAGCTCCTCCATCAGTGTTTCCAGTAGTTTCTTCAACAGCCTGTAAGTAGCTTCTTTAGCAGCTTCCCCCATAGTTCCTCCTGCACGTTCTTCTGACAACTTCTTCTCAAGTCATTGAAGCAGCTTCTCCAGCAGCTCCTATAGCTGCTGATCCTGCAGCTCCTCCAAGAGCTTCTTTAACAGCTCCTCCAACCGCTTCTTCAACCGCTTTGCAAGAGACTCTTTCGGCAGCTTCTCCTACAGTTTCTTCAGCTGCTTCTCTAAGAAGCTCCTTTAGCAGCTTTTTAAACATCCTATCCAACAGCTTCTCTAACTGTCGCCACACACCAAATGCCAGTAAAATCTTTGCGTGACTGAATTACACGTGAAGTCAATGCAAAGACGCGATTAGACGCTTGTACTAATCTGGTGGCGCGAATGACGCGAATTGGGCGTGAGCTGAAAATGGCTCAACTTGAGCGGATTTTTGCGTCGCGATAACTAATCAGCACAAAGGTTGCTGGATGATGCATGAAAAGGGAGGGTTGTTCACTGGTGTCTGGGTGCCCCGAAATGTATGATACTTTTTCTTTCAATTACTGAAAATGAAATAAAAAGGAACTCGTCTGGAGGCAAGTGAGTGAGGAGGTCGGATTACCTGGTAAATCGTGAAAAAACCTATGTCTATCACTTGATCTTGATGGCAGGGATTACCATTGAAATTACAGTTGACGCATGAACAAAAAATACTACACTATAGTAAACACTAATCATTCAAATATCTACATTCGTGCGAATTAAGCGAGTACATGATTTATTCGCACTTAGTGTGAGTGCCCCATAACAGATTGTTCAGCTTCCCGGGCTAAACCATCTTTTAAATTTGCTCATTTATCGCTGCTTTCACGTATTTTTTCAGCTTTTACTTGTTTTAATTCTTTAGCTTGTTTGTCCAATTTGAACAGTTTCCTTAATTCTTTTGCCTAACTGAGAACTGAGGGCAAATATTTGTGTTGAAAATGCTTTTAAGAATAGACTTTGTACTAGAATTACTATTATAGTTTCACACTTTCACGATTATACCCTGCTGTCAAAGGTAAGTTAATTTTTTTCTGCAAACAAAAAGGTACATGGTGAGTTTCTCCTTCCACTCAGTCAGGTTAGTTTGCATCGTTTGTTTCAGCTGTGTACTTTCAACAGTGTATGATGGAAAAATCTTACTCCTGGCTTTTTTTTTCGGAGTCGAGAGTTTATTGATTTACGGCATCTTGTGTTGCTTAAACAATAAGACGTCCTGGGGAAACGCACAAAAACATCCCAGGAGATGAACTAGCTGACTGTTCTTCAAAAACAACGTTGCTTAGTGTGTGTTTGAGTGTGTGTTTGTGTGTGTGTGTGACTACAATAGAAGATGGATTGGAGTCTGGCTTATTTTGCCGAGAGTCAGGTGTGGGGGATCGGGGTTGGAAGGGTTTAGGCCATTTTCCAGCACAGGTCTGAAGTCATCGCCAAGCTCAGTTTGTTGGATATATGTATGTGTATGTGTATGTGTGTGTATGTGTGTGTTGGGGTAGGGGGCAGCGTGGGGCTGGGATTACACTGTCACACTGTTCATACTGTTTATGCATACCAGGCCACTGTGAGTGCCTCTTTGTCGCGTAAGTGTTTACTTGGATTTATTTTTGGAGAATTCCACATGAGCGGGACGGGGATCTCTATAAATTATGGAATCGAGCGCTTTGTGTAATGATAACTTCTGTCAGTTCGTCAGGCGTTGTGACAGTGTTTTTAAGAGTGTGTAAATACAGGGGGTGGTGAGAGAGGAAGAGGGAGAGAGAGAGACAGGGGTGTCTGGGTGCTGAAAGGTGCTGCAGACAGTCTTGTTCATTTAAGCTCTTCAGCGGAACAATAACAACACTTTCAAATCAGCTTCTCACCACGTTTTACCACATCTTTAGTACTCAGACACAGCAGGGAGACGTATAAGGGCTTCTTGTACAATAAAACATCGCAATAATTACTGTGAGGAATCACAATTTCAAAGACACACAGGGCATATTGGGCTGACGTCCTACTGGCAGGGGTGCAACCAAAGATTTTGCTTCCCATTATAAGTATTGGGCTCCACCCCCTTAATTTCTAAAACCACACCATGCAAAATTCTGAAAGCAAAAGAATTAACATTTTGATTATTTCACGCAAGACTAATAAGAAATACCGTATTTTTTGGACTATAAGGCGGACTTAAAATCCCAAAATTTTCTCAAAAATTGACAGTGCGCTGTATAACCCAGCACGCCTTCTGTATGATTACTTGTTGTACTTACTGACTGATTTTATGAGGTACAATGCGCCCAAAAATCTGTCGAAATGTGTAAGTACGACTTTGGTATGTAACGAAGCCGCTCCGCTCAATGGATATTCAGAGCATTACGGTACGCTGTGTCACTACCTGATCGGCCCCGTAACAGGACCCCTGAGCAGTCTACAAGGCTGCCTGACTGTAATGTCTAAACTTGAAGTGTATTCATGTAAGGCATCCGGGGCCTTACAATCCGGTGCGCCTTATGTGTGAACAAAGACTTATTAATTCACAGTGCGCTGTATAATCCGGTACACCTTATCACCTGAAAAATAGGGTATGTTGAGGGCTATCTTTTGCATACTTAAGTGATGTCTTCTTTTGTTTTAATGTGCTTTTATTTTGAAAAACAACTTTTTTCCAGTGATAGATTTAACTGAGTTTTAAAAAACATCAAAATGAGTCATTAAACTGTGAAATTGTTGAATGATTTGCACTCCTCCAAAGGACCTTAGCTTGACTATTGATCTCAACTGTGTGGACTAGTCTTCAAAGGGATGCTGTTACCTCAGGCTACTGATACCATGGAGGCCTAAAAAGTTCAGTTCACACAGAATTTATCATCAGGATTATTTCTAACACTTATGTAGCCATAAAAGTTGTGTTTATGGCACAACTTACAGGTTTTTGACCTCTTTTGATGCACATTTCACATTTTTTAAAATCAGGTTATATGGAACTTTCTATATCTGCAGAATGAATACAATTAAATGAATGAACCAGTCAACAACAAGATTTGGATTATAATACTTTTAAAATTTCTATATCAAGCATGCAGTATTTCTTCTTGTAGTTTGCATTTTTATCTCTAATGTATATTTTGATAGCCGTGTGTGCAGTTCTGGTTGTTTTTGATTGTTCAGCAAAGTCACAAAGTCCACCCCTGCAGGATCTAAGACTGTGATCAAACAGGCTGTCAATCAGTCATCAGGTGCATTTCATTTTCAAGAGCAAAGACTGACACTTTTTTCTCTCTCAAAAGTGTGAACTAATTATATAATCAGTTAATTAAGACACTGAACTGCTGTGGTACACCTTTAAGAACAACAGCACCATCTAGTGGCAGATCAGTGAGAGACTTGCAGTCATAATGAAAGTAAACAACAGAAATCTGTGTTTTACTTGTTACCTACTTCAATTTTAAACCACATGCATGCTTTTGTCATAAAACAGCATGTTATTTAGAGATAGTTTCCAAACAGATGTAATGTGCATTTGCACGATTTAGATTCCTAAACATCAACACAAAATGTGTAGATGTGGATGTGTCTGTGCGTTTCTCAGCTGAGTCTTCATCAGGATGTGGATGTTGACTTAAATACATATAGCATCTCTATTTATCAGAGGATTTTTAGTGTTGAACAGAAGGACTTGGATTTTCAGTTTAAAATACATTTTCACAAAAAGCATCGTCTAAAAAATTTGTATTTTGACCCTTTGTCCTTTACTCTCGAAGAGCATCCAATCACAGCTGGACCCGCCTCTTTCTATCAACTTTCTGTCATTATTTCAAAGTAATTTATTGACCTTAATATTGTTTAATTGTTGCATTTGTGTCTTTAAAACTCTTGTGAAAAACAGTCCACACAACTGCAAATCTACACATCGGTAGCTTGTGAGTTAAAGCCCCTATATGGAGTTTTTGGACATAAAAATTTTATGAATGGCTTTTTTGATAAACAAAGGTAAAACAAAGACCATCAGTGATGAGATTGATGATTTTTTATTTTAAAGTTAAATGTCTGATTGTGGTGTGCTTTGTCCACATGGAGCTGAACAAAAAAACAGAGGTTTGACACATGAGCCTTAAAAAATGTAAATATTGTTTTCTAAACCAAAATATTCTTGACTGCACTTAAGCCGTGTGTAAATAAAATCATTTTAGACATTTTTAAAAGTAGTTTCAAGAATTAAAGCTCCTGCAAGTAAGTTTCTCTTTGTGTCATCTTTGGTGGTCCCCAAAGGACAAAACAAATGAAAACTTTAACCCTTTAATACCGCACTTGAAAATATTTATCTTGTACAACAAAAAATATCATCCTGCATCCCTTGAACAGATGTATGTAAGACACTGAAAGTTTGCGGAAGATAAAAAAGGCTCCCTTTTGAAGTATGTTTTCAGTCTCCAGGCCTGACACCGCCCCCTCACAGACATTAAAGATATTAAAAATTCTAAAATAGAGATTGTTCCACTTCTTGGTGTTGCTGATTTCTTTTGAAGGTCTTAGAGAGTTAAAGGCCATTTAAAGTTGTTTCATAAGTTAAAATGAGAGAAGCTTTCATACTAAATTTACAATAGATTACACCATCTTTTTCTGCCATTTCCAGTCTTTACCTCAGTATTTCAACTATCTTTGTTTTTTTTAATTAACAATTAGCTGCAACCATTTTAAGAATTTTTTTAGCCTTTGCTGTTTCTGCTCATTAAATATGATTTATAAGAAAGGTGCCATGCCACTAAGCCACTTGACTAATTGATCAGTAACACACACACACACACACAGATTTTGAAATTTAAGGACTTTAAAACTAGAATCTTTTCAGCGTTGAAGATGAACTTTCTGTAGACAAAGACAGCACAGTCTGAAAAAGGTTGTACCATTTATTAGTCAATTCGACAGGTGGCACAATACAAGGATTGGTGACACTGTCCTACCCTGAAAGGCTCCTGATTTGAAATAAATAGATTGTAAAGACATAGAAAAATTCTCTCAAGGGTTAGTAGATCTAAAACTAAACAGGAAACAAATTTATGCCAAGTTCATACTTTCCATCAGTTATTAAAAGCAGATAGAATAAAGTCCGCAGTCTTAGTAACAAATACATGACTTTCTGATTGAGACAATACTGGTATTTTTCAGAAACAGGCACATGCATTATTTTTCAACCTGCAACTCCTGTAATATGAGGAAGCACTTATTTTGTTTCACTCACCAATCCTAAATGGGACCCACTTCTTTTTCTTTTAAGGCTCATTGTCTGAATAAGGCATCGGATATTTGTCCTTCACATGCATTCGTGTTTAGTCTACCAGCAGGGCCTTTTTCAGAGCAGCACAGACAAGTAAATAGAGATGGTCCGTCTCGGTGCTTTTCTCCAGGGGCGCTGCTTTTATTGAACAACCTGAAATTCTAGCTATCTTTGGGGTAATGCCTTTTGTGTTTAGTCTTTGAGAGGAAGAAAGGCACAGTCTGCACAGCAGGGTCAGACAGAAGAGTTCAGTTGAAGTGCTTGGTTGCCGAACTCCTCTCGGGGGAACAGAAAGTAGCGCACATTGTTGTGGTTTCTTTTCCGTTACATCAGATAAAAACCTTTTCTTTTTTTTTCCCCCCCTTGTTCTCTGGGCCTGCAGCTCCTGAACCCATGCAGGCGGGCAGGGTGGGGCAAGTTGAGACATTTGCAGCTGCAGCAAGGAAAACACAACTCCACTCTTTGTTTTGATACACCAACAGACGCAGTGTAATTCAGAGTTTGTGGTCAACGCCAAACAATACCAACGGTTTATAGGCAAGCTGTGTCCACACCCAATCTCTCTCCACAACGGCTTCAGGGCCATTTCACTGAGGGATATTATTAATAGGACACTTTGGACATGGTATGTCAAACTGAGCACTCATTCTCGTATTTTGTTTTCCTGATTTAGTTTTAATTCTGAGAAGATGTCTTACCACTGGAGGTAAGAACTTGGGCCACATTTAATCTAACGACAAATGCTCCTCTGACTTCTGAGAAAACCAGCTGCAAAGTGGTAAACGGCTGTTTTACCGTGGTGGTGAGCGGCTGCATCAGCCTGGATTATGTCCACATGTATACAGATATTTTTTAAGGCAGATTATCCTCAGTTTTTCAAGAAACATCCTGTCCATAGATGTGTTGAAGGTATTTTCCTAAACCTTCCTAAATTTTCAGTGACCTGAAGCTCTATTTACGTTTGGACAGGAGGTGACAGAGCGGAGAAAAAACTATATTTCCAAAAATATCTGCATACACATGGACTGGGTCTCAGTTTCACCTCAAGTAGGGTTTTTATGACACATAAATAATCTGCTGCTCTGGCAGGTGACTGATACTAAAACAAGCTCTTCCAGTAATTTGAACTGTATAAAAAGACAAATATTCAAAGGACACAGTGATATATACCCCGCAGGGAGAGGTCTTCCTATCCCCAAGATATGAATATACATATGCAGCAAATGTAGGAAAAAAGAGGTAGCTAATTTATCAAATAGATGAACAATTCTATACTAAGTATTAAAAACTGGTTTAAATCAGCTATTGAGTGATATGAGTTCAAAAAATTGTGAACTAAAATGTCTGCTACAGATAGAGGACGCTAAACCTGCCCACACTCCATCGATTCTTCAATTCATTTCACAAACAGAGAAAGACACAAGCTCAACAGGAATGGATGTACAGTTTCTAATAAACCTCGATACTGAAAAGATTAACATGATGAATAAGTTATGTTCCTCCAGGATACCAGTGATGGTTTTGGACTCGCTGAAACGGCATAGGTTTGTCACTTTGAGATGATCGCGCAGGACCAAACACACACTGAACTGAAACAAGTGTTGCAACTTAATGTGTAATTAAACTTCTTGACTGCTTCAACATAAGCAAAATAAATAAACACAATCAATAACTGATAATCCTTTTTTTTTTTAGTTGAAGATTTTTACCTAATCGCTGGTCCTTCACCAAACGGTCAGAAATCCCCAAAGCATGATTTAGGAATACTCAAACTATTTACTTCTGACAGAGGAGGATCTGGGCCAAAAATGAGAGAAAAGTAAGAGGAAGAAGAGCTTTTGGGAAAATTTTTGAAAAAAAAAACAAACAAAAAAAAAAAAAGTTCAAATTCTGACATTTAAAAAAAAACAAAAAACATTCAATTCAATTTGTTTTGTTAGAGTTTTGTAAATAAAGATACAATGCAAAGAAAAAGTCAAAATACAATATCATTAACAAGTCCAAATTGTATAATCCAAATGTCCAGAGAAACAGTCAAAATACTTTTTTGGTCAGTTAAGTAGGTGGAGACACAAGACAATGTTGAGCGGGTTATGTAGAAAACATTCATTAAAATTTAGTAAAAAAGTTTAAATGTCAAAAAAGTATAAATATAATTTGGCGACTTATGTCAGAACTCCGGGGGCAAAGTCACAATATGATTTTGTAAACAAGGTAATGATAAAGAAATTAATCAAAAATATATTTCATTAATGAAGTTTGAATATCAACAAAAACGTCAACATTTCATGAATATAGTTGGAATTCCAAATGTTGACAAAAAAATTTAAAACAGAAGTAAAATACGGTTTTATGAATAAAGTCAAAACAGTGTGGTGTCTACTCTGAAGTCAAATTGTTCAGAAAGAAAGTACTATTTTGTCAACTCTGATGCAGTTTCAAGAAAAAAAAAAACTCTTAATGTAATCTTCTTAATAAAGTCAAAATGTCAATGAAAAAAATCACTTAAAAAACACGCAAATGAAGTTGCTTTGCAGGGAAAAATCAAAATTGAACGCTCTAGTTAAGGTAGAAATATCTAGAAGAAATAAAGTCACAGGGTTGAGTAAAAAGTGGAACATTTTTTTGACTGTATTCTGGACATTTTGACTTTTTTTCAAAGTGCGATAAAAATATAGCCTTCCTCCTCTAGTTTTGTCCTCATCCCTGTTGTGAAATAGCCTAGTTTGTAGTTTCAGTAGTTACGAATGCTGAAGAAGCCCACGCTGGTTGGCGACTCCTTGACTGTGACCGTCACTAGGTTTGCGGTGACATCCGTAACGAACACGTGCTCTATCAGACTTCTTGTGGGCTTCCAGTCCTGGCTCTGGATGGCTCCTGTGCCGGTGTAAGTTGAATCCTGATCAGAGTCTGAGCTGCTTTCGTCCTCACCAGTGCTCATATCATTCATTTTGGTTTTCTTACCATCTTTGGAGGCCGGTCTCTCCTGCTGGCTCTGGATCTCTGTGGAGGGTTTCTGCAAGCCGCTTTTTTCCAGCCTGCCTGGGACTCTCTGGTTCTGGATTTCCGGTGCCTCTGAAGCCTTGTCCGCTCCAGGCTGGTTCTTTCTTGCTGCTATTCTACCAGGTGTTGCTGGGCTCTTTGGGAGATTATACTCCTGGTTTTGTGTGACGGTGGTCTTCCTTGCTGGGTTTGTGGCGTTCCTCAAGCCCGAACCAGGAGCGGTTCCGTTTCCAGGGGCATCGTTTTTTTGCGCCTGTTTGTTCTGAAGGTTTAGAGGCTGAAGTCCAGAGCTTTGATTGGATGAGGCGGTCTTAGATGGTAGGGATGCCATTGCTTTAGTATTAGGTATCCGCTGCAGTGTTGACACGGGGGTCTGGGGTTTCTTTTGTCCGTTGGGGGAACTTAACGTATGCTGAGTGGTCCCTTGAATGGGATGTTTGGAAGTATTCAAATTCAAAGCTGCGACTCCTTTTGATTTACTCGCAGCTGCTTTCAAATCCAGGCTCGTCCCGCTGTTCATGCTTGAGACGGACAGTTTACCTTCGCTGGCGTTCCTGCCCTGGATGGATTTGTTCATGGAGGGGGAGTTAGGTTGGACTGACCTCCCAGATACCACTGGACTCACTGAGTTTTTAACTGCCCCTCCTTGGGTTAGAGAGCTCCTGTTCTGACCGCCCACTGAATCCCGAGGCGAGCCCCGATTAAAACCCATGAAAGCAAAACTTGCCAGGTGAACCGGTTTCTTAATCGCTCCTGGAAGATCCAAATCTTTGGACGTCTTCAGGATTTTGCGAGCTCCCTTGCTCTGCGGGAACTCCTTCACGTCAGGTTTCTTGCTTCGTTTCTTTGGGGGCTCCTGTTTGGCCACTACAATCTGCGCCTTCTTCTGAGGGACGGGGTGGGGGTCTCGTGTTCTGATGCTTGGACTCGCCTGTTTCACGTGGCCGCCTTCATCATCGTCATCTGATGAAGAGTCGGAGGAGGAGCAGGAGGATGAGGATTCAGAGGATGATGATGACCCAGAGGAAGAGCTGCTTGACTTTGGAACCTCGGGCACATTTTCCTACATTAAAGAGCAAATATTAGACACCGAATACTCTCATAAAAATACAAAACTCTGCACCAAAGTCTACTCACCAGAATTTTCCGTGGTCGTCCTCTGGGCCTTTTTCCTTTCTTACGCAACAGAAGCTCTTTTTCTTGCTCCCTGTAGAAATAAAAACCAAGGCCAACAAATGATATAAACTCCAACAACAGTCAGTGTATTGTTGAAACATTCAAGATGAAAAGTTAGAAAACAATTTTTGGACGTCAAAAATTATGGCTGATGTCCAATCATGAAACAGGAGGTTACCGTAACCTTCATACAGTGATCGGTCTGTTTGATATTTCATAAGTATAATTAAGGTCAAAAGGGTTTGATAAGACTTCAAGTTGAGTCAAAAAAGTCTAGTTCTTTTATTTCATTTTCCATTTCAACAAACAAGTGATATGAAATACTTGTTATGCAGTTTATCTCAAGTTTTGATCACATGTTCACGACTCAATCAAGACACTTACTTCTTGTTGAATGCTGCCAGCAGTCTCGGGTCGAGGATGTTTTCTTGGGGCTCCCAGCTGTTGTGTCTGAAATAAAGCAACAGTGATTGTAAAAATAATGAGAGGTGGCCAGACAAGCTCAACTGCGCAGCTAAATGTTAATATTGACCATTGAAGATTTTCAGTTCCTTTTAAAATCCATCAAACATTACGCTGTGCCAATTGCAACCTGAGTGTGAAATTTAGAAAGAGGCTGTTTCAGTGCTTTTCATTTGGAGTCAGAAAGATGTATACCACATAATTAATCAATAATAAATAAGAATAAGAAGAACTTTATTAATCCCTGAAGGGAAATTCAATGGTCTGTTGTCTCACATAATATGTCTCCAAAAGTTATCTACTATTTACACAAGAGTTATAAAGTCTAAAGGCTGTTGGTACAAAAGATCACCATTGGTCCTTTGGTCCATTAAAGTGTTGGTGTTAAAGTGACAGTATAAACTATTTAGGATCCAATGTGGTCACATTGTAATTCTAAAAGCTAGATCTCCGAACGTTGATGATGGGCTGATCCAGGAGGCAGATCCTATTAGCTGAGGTTTAGGCTATTCTCTGTTCAGGCAACCATGGTTATGTAAATCTGTGCATTTTGCCTGGCAAAGAGCTTACAGAGCATGTAGGAAGCTAGCTAGAGGGCCGGCAGTTTGGAGGTAATTTTACACCCGTCACACCAACAAATTCAGCTTAAAATGGCAGTAACAATCTGCTATTACTCAACCATTTTAATCAAGCTTCTCAAGAATCAGTAAAAATACACAGAATTCAACCAAACAAAAACAGAAGGTTGGGGTAGTCAATGGTGCTGAATGTATTGAAAAGATATGAGAAACTTCCAAGTGATGGTATGAAACAGAGAAAAATACCAGAAAAGGTCCTTTGATTCACTGTCTGGACAAGCAATTCCTTTAATGAGAGAATCTGACTCATTTAAAACCTGATAGCTCACTGTAGTCTTAAAGTTGGAATCAGTATTTGAGCAGTGTATCCCCTATCATCGAGATTTTTAAGTCGATAAACTTCACTGCACTGACACTGTCTCTGCTCTGAGATGTACGAGAAAGAGTGCAGACAGGTATGATTAGAGTTATGTTTTTATCATTAAAATGTAACTTCTAAGACATTTTTTTTTAACTCCATCTTCATTTAACTTGCCCAAAAATCACACTTTGTAAGGAGAACTCAGAAATATTTTTAACTACCTCCAAAGTGAACTCAATAAAGCTTCCAATGGTTGGATAAAAGACAGCGGGGAGAGAGTAGAGGAAGAAGTGCCGAGTTTTTGGTGCTGCCACAGAAATAATTGGAGGGTTTTTGACAATATGGGTGAAACTTCACACACAGCCCTTTACAGCTCGCCTCCCACAGCCACCAAAACCTGGTTCAGTTTCTGCTCTTAGAGATGAAAACTCTCTGAGGTCATGAAAGAGCTCTGGCATTCACGGGATGTCATGGAAATATCTATGAAGAGTTTGGGATGGCACAGCACAGAGCATCAGTGAGGCATTAAAAATAACCTTTTTCTGCAGCTTCTTTTAACTACTCACATCAATCTACCGATATCAGTTTATTAACCGCCAATAACAGATCAGGTTAGTGGATATTATGTTATTGTCATTTTTAGAGTTTGAGAAAATGCAATTCTACCAAAATTACGCTCATTATTTCATTCTTTAGATTTCAGAACAGGACTGATTTATGCCAGAAAGAGTATCAAACTATATTCATTATCAAAAATAACTGAATGGGTATTTTAATCTAGTCAGTAAGCAGTTTTTGATTTGATATGCTATGTTAGGGACGCACCATATTGGATTTTTTTTTTTGTGAAAGTCGTAGGATACAACTCAGTTAATAAATCTTGCAGCTTCCCTGTGCTAACAAGCAACGGACGACCTCTTTCCCTGGTTTGGATCCTATAAATGACAACAGAAATGACAGAGTACTTTCAGTGGAATTGGATTATGTTGTGGGTGGGAAAGAGTGAGAAAACTAGTGGGAAAAAAAACACAAACCAAGCTGGAAAGATGTGTTGACAGAGAAGCTAAAACAAAACAGCGCACTTTCTCAATGTCTCCATTTTGTTAGCCATCTAAAAAAACTTACCAAAAAGACCCCTCAATTTAAAAACGACAAAAAAACAGCTGAGAGGGAAGACCTAAATCTTGGTTGCCTGGCTTACGTCAACTTAACAACCTTGCAACTAAAAATCACCACTTCCACTCTAAGGTCAACAACCTCTAGCTTGCATGTTCACCAAGACAGATGTTACTTGAAAGAGCTTCACAACGGCATAGAAACTGCATGTTTGAAGTATTCATGCAGCACTTCCCACCCCCAAAACACCAGCCAGATTTTACAGATACGTTAACTTTTTTTCCAAAAATTCTAATTCAAAGCATTTGCTATATTTCCCTGGACTGTGCACAAGAACCTTCTTACTAACCGATGTAAATATAGGGCAAATAAGCCTCGCCTTGTTGGAAAGAAAGCCCAATTTGTCTTGACTTGATCTAAACATGCATGTGTAATAGTCTTCCTCTCCATCACTTGTTGTTGAATAGCCTATTCTGATCAGAGGTCCCCAGTGGAAAAAAAAAAAAATCAACCCCCACCCTTTCCCTGCACACACACACACACACACACACACACACACACACACACACACACACACACACACACAAAGGATGTGGGTCTAACAGAAAGCCATGGAGCTGGCAGGCAACAGTGTGCATTGATGGTGGATTACAGCAACAATGTGGAGTGAACAGAAAGGGCAAGTGGAAAAGAAATGAAGGCAGAGTGGAGCCTTATACGCAGTTAAATATAAACCATACATAATAGGTTAGATATATCTAAAGTCAGTGGTTGTATATCAAATCAAATGTTACATAAGACAGTAATAAATCAAAGAGGTATTCATGACGGATTGGTTAGCCTGTCATAAACAATAAAACTTATTTCAAGTCGGGAATAAATTTCCAAATCCCTCACAATAACTGCCAAAATTCGGATTAAAAATAATGAGATTAACCTATTACATCTTATTTTAATTGGGGTAACCCTAACTTATCAATTTTGAGGTGTTATGAACAAAAGACGGCAAACGTAGGCAGAATTTGGGAGCTATTTTTTAACGAGATGCGTTTTTTCAAAATTACATAACAGTTTAGTTTTGGTTATTTTACCGTAAAGCGTTATTTAAGCAGCTTTCTAACCAAAAGCAACAAGCGACACGTTGTTGTTGTTGTTTTCATTGTTCCGGGCAGCAGCACCACTTGTACTTACTTGGACGACCATCCCCTCCACTTCACCAGAAACTCCAACTTCCCCTGAAAGAAAACCAGCAAAAAAGACGCTTTTTTGACACTAAACGATGCTAGAAAAGGAATTAGCAAAAGTTAAAATATTTCCGCAGCTCCTACCTTTCTCAGTCGTTTGTTTAAAATGCATTCCGCATCAAAAACTTGCTCTCCTACGGCGCTCAGCTCCTCCATGTCTGCTCTCGACCCGAATAAGAATCCTTTATCAAGAGACGAGAGGCGCTGCCAGCCAGTCAGAATTAAGCTCGAGCGGGACCGGATGTCTACAAGTTGTCCTTCATAGTAAAAGTCTTACCGACAACGGTCAGAAAAAAAGTGGCTTTAGTGGATAAATTAGTTGATTTAGGGGCTGATTAGGGATAATATTGAATAATCTGCGTCAATTTAAGAGGTTATTGAAAATCAATCAAACACCAGCTATAGATATTGCTATCCATCAATGTTATTGCTTAGCCTTGTGTGTAGTAACTTGTTTTTTTCTATCCCTGCTGACTGTGTTGTAAATTCAAAACAGTTACTGACTGTTGTGTAATATAAATTCGGCCATGATGTTAAATAATGAATACGTCAGACATATACAGGGCAAAAACAGCCAGTGGGTTAATAAGACGTGAAGTAAAGTGAGTTTAAAAATAAAACATTAAAAATCTGATTGAAATCCTTTTTGGCCAAAATTAAAATTTGTTAATTTTCCAAAACTGACAATAAAATTATACTTACAAACATAGACTATGGTTATTGTAATAACCAGGCTTTTCACTGATTGCCTTTCTATATCTTACTGCAAATGTTCATTTTAATCGACGTTCTTAATGTTTATTTTATGTCATTTTATTAATTACCTTTGTTCTTGGTCCTTTTCTTAATTCACGTCTTAGAGTTTTTTACTTCTTTTACTCCTTTTACATGGTAAAGAGCTCCTTCTTATTTGTTTATCCAATATTACCTTCTTGGACCCACATTTTCCATGGTCCTGAAGTCATGACCCACTTTTATAGAATTCAAACCAAGCGGATTTATATAAAACAAATACATATAAAAAAAAAATTAATGAATAAAAATTAAAGACTCTAATCTTTAATATAAATCCACTTGTTTTATTGAGTAAAGTGCATTTCAGAGCACATCAGGGGGACAACATGAGGACGACAACTACTAAAGTTGCATATACAGAAAATTTCAAATATCTAATAAATATCGCATAAAGTATTTACTTTTTTGACCAGCTGTTCGTGACCCATCCAGGACGTGTCCGTGACCCACTTTGGGGTCAGGACCCACCAGTTGAGAACCACTGATTTAAAGCATTGTATCGTATGAATGGGGCGATTCCCTGAATGCTGTCGAAATACTTTAAATTTGAAAGTCATAACCGGAAGTTTGTAGCCATGCAGGGTGAATTGACTTTTTTCCTGTTCAAGAGGCGGGTAACTGTGAATGTGGGTGCTAAAACTGTCCCTTGGCAGCCACCGTCTGTTGATTAAAACAATTATGAAGCAAGGGAGGAGGTACTACGGATGTTTTGAGGGTTTATAACTGATATTACCACCAACAGAGAGGATTTAAATGAGAAATAGAACGAGAAGAAATTCACCTTCCCTGAAATTTGACGTTTGATGGCATGTTTCTTAGTTAACGCCTTGATTTCATTATTCCAAGCTTCCAAGTAAAATAGAATTAGGCAATACCTTCACAGTGTATTCATGCAAACTTTAAATTTCAACAGTTAATGAGACAAAGTCCATGCAGATATAGTCCATGATCATATATATTTCAACAGACGTTTGGAGCAAATACTGAATAAAATAAACAACAACTAAAGCCTTAAGTTAATTTATTGTTTTTTTCCCCACACAATCATGATTATTTATTAAATAATTATTCAATAATTTATCAACATGGTCATTCAACACTCTTGTCCTTGGTTTCAAGTCCTGTTCTCAGAGTTCATTTTTCGCGCACAGTCAGAAACTGTAGAGGTGTGACTGAGACGATCAAAATGAAGTTACTTTTGACACCTCTTTGTCTGTAAGATCTTTGGAGCTTTCCAACCTTAAACACAGAGAAAAAAGGAAAAAAAAGAGAGAGGGAGAAAGGACTAAAAAAACATATCACTGCATCTGAAACAACTGATGGCTGTTTTTTAAGCCAATCAGAACTGTGAAATGGGAGGAAATTGATACTAAAGTCAACAAAAAAGTATTCTTGAAAAAAAAAAAAAAAAAAAAAAAAAAAAAAAAAAAATATATATATATATATATATATATATATATATATATATTGCCGAATTGTAAATCCCATAATATTTTAGCTTACCTTTTATTCTTGTGTTTCTTCGTCAACATCTTGTGGGACATCACCACCATAAAAACTACAAGAAGAAATCCGGCCACTGCAGACAACCCCATGAACACCTTTTGCAGGTAGTTCACAGGTTCACCTGAAGCTAAACAACAACAAAAAACAACTGATATTTAGAACACTAAAATAATACGTGTTTTTGAAGCTTGGTTGACTTATTAAAGTCCTAACTGTAGTTCTTGTAATTTTGTTCCCTGATCATTGATATTTTATTTAGATTTGACAAACTAAACTCCTGGAACTTTTTGCAGCTTAGACTTTGCAGCGTCTCTGGCTTTGTGCAAAATGCTGCTGCACATCTGCTCACTAAAAGAAAATATGACAACATAACACCTATTTTGGCTTCTTTGCATTGGCTTCCTGTCTGATTTGAAACGTATAACTATTGCTTTTACACCCTTATATGGATTGGCGTTTACTTACCTGGCTGTTGGTTGCACATGACATTATTTTGAAATGTGCTTTATCGATGAATATGACTTAACAAATTCTGTTATAATATTTCACTGGTATTGTATCCCATTTTCTTCACTTTCTCTGAGCAATATTGAAATTTTAAAACTGCAAGCCAACTTCTGCCTCCTCAGATAAATGTAGGTGCATCAGGTGACCACCCGATGGCGCTTTAGCAGCTTGTACCTTCTCTCCTCTTGCATCTGAAGTCTCTGTGTATGGTAATGAGCTTTAACTTGATAATTAGATCTGATGCTGAATTTGTTTGTCGTTCTGTGAATAAATACCTTGGGAATGACATCATGAATTTATAACAATGATAAGTTTGTGTGCCTCATGTTAATTATTCCTACAGCTGCAGAGCTCCGTTTTTAATTCCTAGTATCAAACCATGAGTACATCACAGTGCTGCATGTTTCATTATTACCATGAAAAAACACACTGCATGTGGTTTATTTTGATCAATATTGCCAACACCACCCTAATACCCAAATGTCTCACTATACAGTAAATGGAATCTTCTCTTTTTGAAAACAAACAAACATCTTTGAAGAGAAAGGCACAAAGATGACAACAAAGAGAGAGGGAGAATCTCACAAGGATGTTAGCCAATTAACTAACATCGTTTACCTGAAGCCGACATGATTAATGACAACTGAAGAAAAACACAGATGGGGATTTTCTTTTGAAAAGCTTCCCAGAAGTACAATTATTGCATATCATTCATGTTTATTCAGCCTTTAGATTATGTGTGTATATTTCTGATCTTTGGAGATCTGCATGACTTGCAGACACTGGCGATCTAATCTATTGACGTGCATGCAATAAAATCAGGGTTCAAGATAAGAGGACCAGGTTTTACCTTGTTCTTAACAAATCAGCACTTTAGTGGAAAGTTTCTCATTGTAGCTTTACTGCTGCACCTCTTACATCTTTTCTGATTCTGTGAAAGTGTGTCTGTGTAAGTTGAGCATGCTTCTGTAATTATTTAGAGCTGCTATGAGGAATTTTTGACTGCTCTGACAGCCTCTGTTAATAACTGGCCCCCTTATTATGACCTACTAAGAAACTTAGACCCCCAGAGAGGAATATCGTCTTCTCCTGTTGTTTGTTTTTACACGTCTCTATTTATATTAAGTGACTCAAACATGCAGGCTGAACGATTTGGTTTCAGCTCTCTGCAAAGCTACACATGGAGCAGTCAGAGGGGAGTTAAAATTAAACAGAGACTGTGCATTTGTTTGTTTCTTTAGTGCATATTTATTTGTCCTGACTGTTTGCAAAGAAAGAAAGAGTCCTGCAGGCATTTTTATTGAATTTAATGATTACCCCCTTCTAACCCCAAACTTATTTGTCACTAGATGATTTTTTATGTATCTATCTATGGTTTAATTGTCTTATTTCTTGTAGAAAAAATAGTCTTACTGAGATTGATTTTGTGTAAATTCACCTGACAAGTCCCAGAAAAATATTTTAATTCAAGACCTGCATTGTTTGCGATGAGTGAAAAATAACTGCTAACACATTTTTCAGGAAAAAGTCTTAAAATATAATGTTTTTGCAGTGCTTAAACTTCGAGAAACTGAGCACCACTATCACAGTGTGAGTTTCATTGTTATCATAAGATGCTGCTGCTGCTACTGCTGCTATAGGTACACCTTGATAAAATGCGCAAAGTAGTTTATGAGTCATATTTTTAGTGCAAGGTACATTTCCCCCCTTTCTCTTTCAATAGTTCTGAAATGTACCATCTTAGCACTGCCTCTATTTTTATTTCGTTGCCTATTAATGCAAAAGCACTTTGTGTCGTGCACCTTTGGATTGAAAATTAATTATAAAGACATCACTTTATGTATGCACGCTCAGAGAATAGACCAACTGCTTTGTCTGCAGAAAACACCAGATTCAACAAAAAGTAAAAGTTTGTTGATAATCTCTTACACTTGGCATCAGCTCTTCAGACCTCCTTTCTTGTAACCTTTTCAAACTTACGCCTGATGTGGGTGTACGTTGTCTGAAATGATCGATGAACGGCCTACAAACAGCGAGCAGGTGTTGAAGTGACACACTTTCCCGGCCTAAGGGAGAGACTCATTACTCTGATTCAAACTCACTTGGTCGAGGACTGGTAACCAGCATGTGTTTAGTGGCGTCCAAGTGGCCGTCGTTGACCTCCGGCGTGATGCCCAGGATGTGACACATGAGGGCGTAGATGTTCACCGTCTCAAAGGGCCCCACCTCCAGGTCCTTGTGAAATGCTGGACCCACTGCCCTGAAGAAGGCCTTCATGTCCAGCTCCTGGTTGTCGAAGCCGTGCTCGCCTTTGTGGAACTGGACAGGGAAATACTGCAGGGACAGAAAGAGAAGAAGGCCTTAATTTGGCCCTGAAGTTCCTGCAAAAAAACATCCAAATTTGATGCACATTTATGAACAACAAACGCTGACCTAGTGCAGACCAATCAACGATTAATAAAAAAAAAGATAAAATGCAGAGAGAAATTTACAGGCAGCAGAACAATGAGGATAAAAACTTTATATAATATTGAGATTTAAAGCATCAGGAAACTCTTTCTCTCAATTTGTACAGAAACTTTGGTGTCGAAGAGTAGGCAGAGGCTAAATAACACAAATGAATGACTTTGAAACACTAAGTTGTCTCAGGTCTTAGAGAAAATTGAGGAAAGAAGGTTTTTGTAAAGTGGCATGCATGATGTCATTGTTTGATACCACTTTATTGAACCTTGGCTGAGCCTGTGGCTCTAGAAATATCCTTTATCTGCAGCTGAGCTCACACGTTGCACTTTACCCTCATTTAGTCAGCAGAGGGAGGTATTGGCCAAGCAAAGGCATGTCCATACAGAGGAACAACGGCCTAGTTTCTTTTTTGTGAGAGGCTCCAAGCTACAAAAATCCATCTCTAGTTTTATATTTTCACATGCGTCGTGAAATATTTCTCCACAAATATGAAGTTTGAGGTGGATTTATCAGTAATAAGGGATGCCTGGTTATCTTTTGGCTGTTATGTAACGTTTTCAACACACTTATCTTTCTCTTGGATCGAACAGATCTGAGTTAAAGTGGCCATAAAGGGAGCGGGAAGAGAATCAGATAATACAGTTATGATCACGGCCAGTCTCGACCTATAGACTGTAGATAACCCGTCACATCGTCAGAGCATCCACAGGACTGATTATTCTCCTGGTATTCAGCATTTGAAGCCATTTCATGATTGAATTACTTTAGTCTTTGAAATAAATTCAGATTTAATAGCTCTCAGCGCTGACTGACACATTCAGCTGCAAAGTTACTGCACAGTGGAGCGACTGAGCGAGCGTGGCGCCAAGTGAAAATGCTAATTTTGAATTTCCGAGGCATGAATAGCTTCATGGAGCATTTGAGAGCCCTGCATGTCATCAGCCCGGCCTGGATTATCCCGAGGACATGCAAATGCACTTGATTAAAACTGTAATGTACTCAGATTAGAATTTAACTGGTTTAGAAGAGTCCAGTTTTGCCATTTTAGTGTGTGAAAACACAACAAGTAGGGTTTGTATTTTTGCAGTGAAGTCTGGAGGACATTTCTAAATAAACTAGGTGGTGTGTAAAGACTTTGTCAGAATGCCAAGGCTATTCAATTAATTTCCATTCACCCATAAAACTGGATTATAATGAGCATATAAAATAATAAATATGGTTAATAAATAACCCGAAATTTACAACACTGAAGATTTAATGATGCTGAGTGCTGCTGTCTTGTCTTTAGCTTCTGTTTCACAGACTTTGCTCTCTGCAGCTCGGCATGTTGATGGGGCACAAATGGCAAACTGAGGTAACTGTTTACTTTAAAGGGTAAATCAATAGGACTTGCAGTGGGCAGAAAACTGCTGCTGCACATCTCTTTAAGGTTCAGACTTTTAATATGTTGCATTTATGGCTAAACCAACAAAGAAACATCCTTACTGACATATGAGGTCAGTTCTGAAGCCTCATTAGCGATATTTTAACAGAACTCAATAACCGGGGAATGCTGGCGAGGGGTAAATATCCAAGAAATACAAGAATGCCTTAAAATGCACAAAACATGCTCAAACAACTTGAATATAATTGAAATATTTCTATATTTTTAGCAATTTATGCTTCAATTTTGCCTTGCTGCCTCTTTTTAATGTAATAATCTGATTCTTTGTCCTCTTATGTGATTTTTAAAAAATCTCTGTCAGTGTTCATGAGTTACATTTTTACATCAGTAATAAACACATACATTTTGATGCATTAGCAAGCCTGCAGACTTTATAATCTTTTGCCCCTCAGGATTTCCAAAGCTGCACAAAAGTAGCCTGTGTTTAGCACATGTAGAGTTCTGAATGATTTTACTGGATTTATTATAGTTTTGTTGTCAGAATAGCTTACAAAATAAACATTTCATTCAGATTGTGATATTTTATTCTCTTTGAAAGAGGCCTGCCATCTCACCAGAGACCATTGACTGTCTGGGCCTGGACTGGCTGAGTGGGATCTTTTGGAAAACACAAATAAATCATCAGAATTAGATTCTAACTGATCCTGTCGGCATGTCTAAAGAGTCAATTGGTAAAAAGGAAAATGGTGATTTACATTACATGTCACATTCACCCATTCACACCACATTTAAATCAGCAATAAAGTTACAGCACAGGGCTGAAGCACAGTGCTCTCACATTGCTCCAGAACTAAGCAGACCTGTGTACGGTTACCTCTTGTGCATACATTATCCTGTAATATGACGCTTGCATGGTTTCTCATCATGTCAGCACAATGAACAGCACTGACCCTGAGTATCATGTTTGGCCAAATTCAGGTAAATGCGCCATCTTTGCATGAAACCTTTGCAGCCATTGTTCAGAATGATTGCATGCGTGCACATTGTGTATCTATGCATGCATGAGCAACTGTAGCCAAGGCCAAATAGGTGTCTCTTGGTTCTTGTACTTGTTTGTGTGATAGAGCGCTGTCATGGTATGATTTCATGGTGTGTCTGCTACAGTTGAACAAGTTTCCTTGACAAAACTGGCAATCGTATTTATTATATTCAGGTTTTAATAACAGCTAACAATAAATAAAAACTTTGTCAACCCACCCCGTTGATGACATATCCCGGGTCGGCCCACAAAACGATGGGGAGGATCCGCTCATGTTTGGCAAAGTGGAGACGCTCTGGCATCTCCTCCTTCTTGTACACATGGAGATGTGGATGAGCATCCTTTAGGGCATTATAGACCTTCTCCAGCCTCCCTGGTTTGGGCAGCAGCATCCCAGAAGGGCCAAAGTCCACCAAGTGAAAGGACAGGTCACTGAAAGCAAAACCAGGGATCTTGGACAGAGTGATCTCTTCTACCAGACCATTACGGTACACATCGGTCATACCGTGGTCGGCTGTGATGATGATATTCAGGTGGTTGCTCACACCGTGTCTTTCAGCGGAGTCGCGAATATATCCCACTGTTCGGTCCACTTGCTTCACCATCTCTCGTCGCTGTGGAGAGTCAGGTCCATAGCGGTGGCCTGTACCATCCGGTTCACCAAAGTACAGCGCTACAAAGTCCAGATCCAGGTCCTTGAACCAGCCCATTACCTTGTCAGCATTCTTCCTCCATTTAGTCTCGTCCTTGTAGTTGTAAAGCAACGGCTCCACTTCCTTGATTGTGGGAGTCATTCCCTGGTAAGTGGAAGCTGTGCCAGGAAAGTGAAGAGAGCCAGACTTCCGGCCCTAGAAGGATTGGAAAAGGACAAACATTAGCATGACACAGATGAATATGCAACAAGTTCTCGCTCCCAGATCACCAAACACAGCAGCTTTGTCAGAGGCCCCATGCTGATGACACCGTCTGTGAGATAGGCAAGAATAATTATGTACTGCAAGGAACATTTTCAAAATAAAGCTTACCAAGAGTCTTTCATAATCTGTAGATCGAAGTACTTGCATTTATACAGTTTACTCTGTTGTGATACCAATGAATTTTTGGTTGTTTTCTTAAGATCTTGACTCTTTTTTGTTTTCTTATGATAACTCTAAATTTCTGGACAGCACTGCAACAAAAAAATACATGATTCTGTTGTGAAAGTCATTGCATGGCCTCAAAATCACTTCCAAAACCATTGTCTGTGAACTCAACTCATCACTGCATCTACAAATGCAGGCTAATACTGAACCATGCGAAGAGGAAACCAGATATAACCGTGGTTGTATTTACTGATTATATTTATCTTTAACTCTATATCTCTACGCACAGGAGTAGTCATAAATGCTATCATGAATCATTAAATCATAATCATTGACTGTGCGTGCTTTTTATTGAGCTCTGTTAGATGTCGTGCACATGAAATATTTCTAAACTATTTCTGTAATTTTTATCTTTAATGGGGTTTGGTAAGTTTTTCTTTTTACTTATCTCATATACTTTTGTAGTTGCTATAACAATAAGATTTGCCCCTAGATATTTAAAAAGTCTTTATCCCATCCAGTCTTTTCCATCCTTCATCTTTTAACCATTGTTTTAACTTTTTTCCAATAATTCTTTTGTTTTATTTATTGCCATTGTTGGGCATTGGTCTCCACTTGTAAATCCATTTTTTTTAAATATACACAATATTTTATCATAAAGTTTTTCCTTTTTCTTTTTACAATCTAATGCAAACTGGAATGTATTCATTTGTATTTCAGAGCCTTTATAAACATAAGATTTATAGATCAATTTAAATGAGCGTACATTTTTCATAAAACTTTAATATTTAGAAGTTTTAGCAGTTAAGCTGTTGCCTTTGTATTGTTTCGCTCAAAAACAGAGTTTCTCTGATAAACAATCAAAATTTAGCATTTTTGAATATTTTCTCCAACCAAATAGCTTATACAGAAATAAAACATAGAATCTGGCACCAATATATTATGTAACTGGTAATGAACACAATAGTTAAAAACAACCAACCTTAGATGTTTATATAAAGCTCAAGTCACCTGGATATCTTGAAGACTTAAAACAGGCAACTGGACTGCCTTTTAAGTCTTCAAGATAACCATGACCTGGAAGAATGAGAATCTACATGGACATAAGTCACCTGGATGCATGTCCAGTGTTGGTTTGAGCCACTTACCACCATCTCAAAAAGACCTCTGAGCCTTTGATTGTATCTCACATCCCCTCAACAGTGCAACAGAGAACAGAGTTCATAAAGGGATACCTCAAGCATCATATTTAGAAGTGTGGGTAACCTGACCAAGCTGCTACATTTGTTTGAAACTGATTTAATTGATGTGTTTGGAGGAATGCCTCAGATTTACCCCTTTACACTTTGGATCAGCTAAGAACGAAACCAAATCATTGGTGAATAAGATTTCATTGATTTTCTTGAATCTACAGCTCTGCCTATAGGGCTGCCTCGTCATTTGCATGCAGTTAACATCCACACCCTCCAAATAATTTGCAGTATAACTGCGCTGATCTGCCTAAAATGATTCAACGGGGCCTTCAGAGGTGTTTTGTCAGGAGAAATGGTTTCTGCTGCTGTAAACAGACAAACAGTCTCTGACAGAGATAAGCTGGAAATGGTGCAGCACAGACCTGTTTCTCCGCTGTGATCCAGATAGGCAGACTGCCATTGTCCCACCACTCGTTCACAAACTGAGTCTGATAGTACGGCTTCGTCTGAGTGGTGGTTGTGTTGAACCACATGTTGTGGATTACGCCGTGGTTCTCGATGTAGCGGCCTATAGAGGAGAATCGCTGTCAGTCTGCTTGCACTCATTATTCAGAGCGTGACACATTCACATTAAAAATTCTATCAACTCAACACGCTGAGTGGCATGACGCTTTTGGACAAGGTCTTATGACCAACTTCGGAGATTAGAGGAATTTAATTTCAAGGAAGTTAAATTTCTTTTAGCTGGCGCCGATGATTTGAGAGTCAAAATAAGAAAAGAGAGCCCAGAATTCTTCCCTCAGTCATCCAAGCATAATTATCTTACTCAGCTATAAAAGCTGTTGGACCCTGGGACATTCAATTACAACTAATTCCTTTTTCCTGTGGCTTTTTTCAATCCTTCCCAAGCTAAACCCAGGGCTGGTTCCCACTCTGCCATGATATGCAGATCCCCTGCCAACTGGGAGCACTGTTGTAGAAAATGAAACACTTTACCTGTCAGTAGGGTGAAGTGTGAAGGACTGGTGATAGTGAGGTAAGGAGGTGTGACATACAGGGCTTTGACTCCATCCCTGGCCATTTTGTCCAGGTTTGGCGTGTCCACGTCACGGTCGTAATCCCAGCGGAAACCATCGAAGGAGATCAGCAGCACCTTCTGTCTGGTTTGTTTGGTCGCCGGGGCCGCGAGGATGCACGAGGCCCAGAGGAGGCAAAGGCTCGCGGTGTAGACCAACATGGTGAAGACCGATCTCAAAACTAACTGGATCCTTCACTCCTCTAACCTCTTTGAAGCCAACAGCTGATCAAAGTTTCTTGAGTTATCTTATCTTAAAGATTGCACGGACTCTCTGCGTGCAGCACGCTGACGTTTATGAGCTGTTTTTACAGCTGCTTGTTGTGCTCACAGTGAATTTCAACCCCTCCGCTTTGCTCTTGAGGACTGGCAGTAAAGCAGATTAATCTCCCCGGGCATCGCGGCTGTTTGTTTCCCTCTAACTCGCTTGTTGATGCTGTCTTTCTGTTTGTCTGCCGGCCCGTCTGTGCGTCACAGTTTCCTGTATATCATTGACAATGGGGGAATGGCACTTTGATGGCTTTCACCTTGAGTTGGGATGGTGCATGATTGATCTGACACAGGGAAAATGAAGAGGAAAATGAGAGCGTATATCTCTTCGTCAGCTTGCAGGGGTCTCTGGGGGAGAAACGACCCTAATGGACATATTCATTTTAATAACCCTAATGTGTGTTTTAGCCCTGGGATATTTCCAAAAGATCTCCTGAAGTCCACATTGATTTCCACGACGGACAAACAGCACCCTCCTCAGTGTTTCAGCTCAGATCATACTCAGCTCATCCACACATTATATATCACTTTGGTTGTGATGTAATCTTATCAACGTCCATCAAATTGCGAGACAAGGTAACTCTTCAAATTGGCTCTTTATTGTGTGTGTCCTTGGCAGAGGTTCAAGGGAATCGTCCAATCTTTATGGAGATAAGGGATAACATTCATCAGCTTTCATTTACCTCATTCATATTCATTAGCTTTCCCGAATTAACTCTATACGCTCGTCGTCCAATGTCAGCAAGATTCGGGGGAGTGTGTTCTGGACTGCTGAGACCGCCGCTGGTCTCAGATCTTTGCTATGAGAACTTTATCAAACACACACACTCTGAACTTGAGGCGCGAGCAAACTTTATCTGACCCTCTCACTCTCTGCTCAGGAACTCCACAGGGATCCTCGCAGATTCTTGGAGAAGAAAAGTCAGCTTTTTGCCTTTAGCACTCTCTGCTGCTGATGCATGAACACTGCAGAATACCTTCCCCAAGACCAAAAAAACATCATCCTGGTGGGCCAGAACATGCACATCTGTCATTTAAAAATAAAAACAAAGCTTGGTTTTCACAGTATTGGGATAGAAATCTCTTTTACAACGTGAAGGATAATCTGAAACAGTTTATAAATGCTGCAAATGCACAATGTCAGTTCTGTTTACCGTAGAGCCTTAAGGTTTTTACACATTTTCCCAGCAACTCTGTTTGCATGAATTGGCTGGTTTGCATCAACCACCTGTTGACTAAATCACTGTCCTTATTTTGCTAATTCTAATTCTATCAAGTTTGAGTGTCAGGTATACTGTTATTTCAACCTGGGATTTGCTGCAGGAGAATTTGGGTCTAAGTCTCTTTACATGTTTGTTTAAGTAGACTGAAGGCATTAGGAGAAGATGCATCAAGTTGTAGATGATTTGACAGGGGAGACTGTGATCTGTGATCTAACCAACCTGCCTCAATCCAAGCTCTTCTTGTCTATCATGGCTGTCCAATAGAAAACATGTAGCTCAAAAATTGTTTTTTTTTTTTTCAGGAACAATTTTATCCATAAACTCCTTAAAAGAATAAACCCAAAACACTGTAATTAGACACAAAATCAAAATCTTTATTTACACAGTCATCAGGGACCTGTTTGATATTTCAAACTGACTTGCGTGGCATGTGTTGTGAGTGATAGTGGACATACGTGTTTTTTGAATAATGCGCTCCAATGACTTTCGGTTATGCACAAGCTTTGTGTAGTTTCTGTCCCACTATGTTGATAAACGGTTGATAGCACAAAGCACATTGGTTGTCAACCTTTTTGAGTCGCGACCCCCACTTTAACATGAACAAGTGTCCGTGACTATGGGAGAGAAAACAGCAGCAACTTTGCCTCTGGGGATGAACTTCGGCTCATGAAATCTAATGTACAGGTGAGCAACACTGTCGTGGTTAGAAAAAAGTTTGAGGTCGGCATCTGTTGATGTGAGGACATTAGTGTAGCATTACCCTGGACTGTAATGAGTCTGTCACAGCGTGAAGTCTGTTTGTTGACGTGACAACTCAGAACCAGGGCGGGAGATACATGCTTTGTTGTCACTTTTGACACCCAATGGAGATATTTGTTGAAAAGATGATGTTAAAAAATGTCTTCCCATCGGTCATTTGGATAGACAAAGCTACGGGTTGTTAGGGAAGATTAAGACTATGCATGTTTTGAAAAAAGTCCAGATTGTTAAAAGTGGAGATATGTATTGTTATGAAAGTGATGTTATACTGTGGATATTACCAGAATCATACATACTGTTGCTAATGCCTGTTATGTTCTGAATCCCTGGGTCTTTGCTGCTGCTCTCCCTGCTTTGGCTTACATGAATGCACATTAAACAGAAGAGAGGTGTGCTCTGCCTGTCACCTCTACCCAAGCCCCTCTTTTTTATGCTTAGTCTGTTCTATACCCTGCTGGCCTTTGCTGCTGCTCTCCCTGCTTTGGCATACATGAATGCACATTAAACAGAAGAGAGGTGTGCTCTGCCCGCCACTTCCATTCTCGCCCAATTTTTTTATGCTGCGTCTTTTCTGTACCCTGGTGACCTTTGCTGCTGCTCTCCCTGCAGAGGTGTGCTCTGCCCGTCACCTCCACCCAAACCCTTCTTTTTTATGCTCTGTCTGTTCTGTACCCTGGTGGCCTTTGCTGCTACTGTCCCTGCTTTGGCTTACATGTATGCAGATAAAACAGAGGGAAAGTGTGCTCTCCCTGTCCCAAGCTTTGACATTCACATATGCACTTGGAAGGGCAGGGAGCTCTCATAACAGAGCTGTACCACCAAAGGGGTTGGAGGGGAAACAGGAAGAGTGGGCAGCCTGAAGCTGTTTAAATAGGATGCCAATTTTGCCATTAGCCAGTTGAATAACCTCCTGCCTGCACATGGTGTTTTTTCCTGGTGGAGATTTTTTAAAATACTTCCTAGTTGTTTTCATGTGGAAGACAAAGATAAATGTTTTGGTAAATGCATGACAATTGTTTTTTTTATATGTATTGTTTTGTTTTAAATTGTTTATATGTAAAGTTTAAATGAAACCTAGCTGTTCTTCAGTAATTTACCATGGAATGAAGATGAATACATACATCAGGCTGAAAAGTTTTGAATTTGCCATTGAAGTCACCCTGTTTGCAGCTGTTGCTTACTCAAGAAGCTTTTATTAGAGCAGATATATTTAAAAACACACCTGACTTGAAAATCAAATCATGTAAATCTACTCTACAGGGGTGCAGACTGGCTTAATGAACAGTGGAAGTGAGTGAAATAGAACTCGTAGAAGTATACAGCAAACTTTAGAACCATTGGTACACATAGGAAACTGGTGCCAAAAACAAACTACTAAACATTCAAATTTCTCCAGTGCACCAAAATAAAAATCTGCTGCATTTGAATCAGAATTGCTAATGAAATAGGATTAAGATCAAAATGCAAAAACACATAAACAACTATGTTTTCCAGCACATATAAAAATCTTCACTGCATCTGTATTCTGCTCAGCGTTCTGTTTGAATGGAGAGCTGCTTCTCTCCCTGCTGTGACTGGAAGTAGACCATCAGGTTCATGCCAGCGTGCACAGATCGATGTGTTTTGAATTGTGAGCAAACAAACTTTTAATGCATGAGCGGCTTATTATCAAGTTACACGGGAGCAGGTCCAGGCGTAAAACTTCAAACCACAGGAGGACTCCGCTGGGGGTGAGCAGCACTCTCACATATCCTCTAAATAAACACTACACATGTTTTCTTTGATACTACAACAGTCTGTCCAACATAGTTAATTACCGTCAGACCGGAGGAACTCAGTGTGTTGTTTCTATCAGCTTTGGTGGGAGGCAGAAAAAGAGCACACGCTGTGCTGAATGTGAGGTATTTTTCAAACCCCGTACCCTGAGATTGATAAAATAGTCAAATGCAAATTCACTGCAATGTTTGCAAGTCATCATGTTCAAGGTTTTTTTCAGCTATTTAGGGACTGTTTTTTTTATTTTTATTTTTCATTTTGCAAATGATTAACTTTTTTCATTCATATCATGGCATCAGTAACATCCACCCTCAGCTCTCACCTGCAATCTCATTAAAACAAGTCTGCCACTGTAACCTTGAATATTTAGGACCTTAAAATGTTCTAATTTTTCCTGACTAACTGTTGTTTTTTAACCATGAGTTTACAATAATGATTATTTAAAAAGGAGAAAGTTTGCTTCGAGAATAAACCCACATACAGTAGGTGCTCAATTCATTCAACCCCTATTTACATTTTTACAGGGTGGTGATCTCTAGTGGCTGTGGCAGGTATTGCAGGTAAAAAGGTGGGAGTCAGTCAGTGAAGGGGCTTTCTCACTCCATCTAAAGTCACGTCTGATGCTGTTATAATAACCTTATTAATATAGCAACCGTCAGATGAAACATTTTCAAGACAAGAGGTTAATTCAAGCATTGAGTTTATGGGAAATCGTCTGATTTTGATCTTTGTGACTGAGTTATTAAGGAGATATTTCAGTATTTTTGAAGAGAGGTTGTATGAATAAGTGAATGTAGACACTAGTTATGCTTTAGTTAAGAGTCCGCCATGTAAATTACCAAATTCCAAGAGACCATTAGAAGGACTTTGCCATTACAGAGCCCACTATTTTTTGCACTATTTGCAGACACAACACACATCTTTCCCTCTCCCTGCCTTGTAGGGATGGGAATTGATAGGATTTTATTGATATCGATGCTGCTATCGATTCTGCTTATTGATTCTGCTTATCGATTCAATTCTATAACGATTCTCTTATCAATGCCTTTCTTTGATTTAAAAAAAAAAGTAGACCATGGGTTTTCAATGTTAATTCAAAATTTTGTTGAGTCTCTGATAACAGAAAAAAATGTATGCCACCTTCAGTGAGAGTCTAAAAATAATCAAACAGAAATGCTATTTGTACAGCATTTCTGACATGCATTGTGCTTATGTCAACACAGGACATACGTTAGAGTGACCATATTCTGAATCCCTAAAAAGAGGACACGACGATGCGGGGTGGACTTGTGTGTGAAATTTTGAGGGTTTTTTTTTTGGCAAGGTTGAGTGTTTTTATGTGCTTCTAACTCAGTTAAACGCATATTCTGAATTCCTAAAGACAGTACATGCGTGCATGCATCAGTGGGTTTGCTTAGAAGTGAGCGGAGGGGCAAAGCTGCAGAGAGGACTGATGCGCTGCACTGTTTAATAATGAATGAATACAGGTTCTGGACATTTGTATGAATTTATAGACTCTCCCCAGAAAGCCCCCCACAAGAGGACATGTCCGGGTAAAAGAGGATGTATGGTAACCCTGACATTCGTACCTTCCATGCCGTGCTGATGACCGGCAGAGAGCATTGACTACCTGTGACTCCTTATATTTGATGCCGTGCCCTGTTGACAAATGTTTTAGCATGTTGCTGGTGTTTCCACCTTTGCTTGTTATCACTGCTCGACAAACATTGCACTGTTGTTGTCTTTTTTAGTAAAGTTAAGCCACGCTTTAGATCATTTCTGCCCACTTTTCGTACCATCCGCCATGTTTTTTTCTCGGTCTCTGTTCCCGTTCACATAGACTGGCACTCGCGAGACTGTTTTTCATGGCACCCAGATGAAAGGAATCGTTAAGGAAAAATGTAAATGATGTCGATGGATTGAACCATTTGGAACCGGTTCTCAACAAGAACTGGTTCTCGATTCCCATCCCTACTGCCTTGGGTTTAGATGGCGCCAGGGAAGTGTGCTCCGCCTGCCTCAGGCTTTGGTATTCCATGTATGGACATGGAGGGACTGGACACTCTTAATACAGAGATAAACCATGAAACATAAAATGGCACATTCACTCAAAGTCATTAGAAGTCTGGTTTGCGTTTATTCCTTGTTGTGTACATGATGGATTTACGGATCCAGATTTAATTCTGTGAATCAGAGAAACAGAGGTGATCCCAAACAAAGGGTCTGGACTTGATGGTGATGCTCCTTTATATACAGTATGTGGAACAAATAGCTGAATCTGTTATTACAGGCATTTATCATTCATGTTGCAAGCTGAGAGGTATCAGCACTCTTATCAAACTAAGTTTTAAACCAATTTAATAAAGTGTCTCTGTATCCTCAGATTCAGTCTATATATGAATCCCCTCCTGAGATGCATGTTGACATTGATTTGCTAACAATGAGCTTCACATTCAGAGTGGGTGGCTGTGGGCTCTGCCTGAATGGCACAGTGAGTGTAACATACTTTATTCAAATTAAAAACAGCAGGAGTATGATGGCGCTCATTCCTGTTTTAATAATGCACTTGCTCTTTTTGCAGCAGGCTGCTCGCATGTTATACATCTGTCTCCGGTCTAGTCGCTAACCTGCTGAGTATCAGCTATCCTCTTCACTAATTCTTTATCAGCTCCCATAAAGAGTCTGCAGAGTAAACATGATGGTGTTTCTGGGCACAGGTTTGTCTCCCTCAGTTAAGGTTGTACAGCAGAATTTGAAAACAATAAATCAACTCTGATAAGCTGCAGCTTGCTCTATAATGTATGCCATAAATATAGATTAAACTCTGAGAAAATAGTTGGCTTTACTTTAACCTCAATCTGCATTTAATCTAATCCAATGTGATGCATAAATGCCAGCCTTTCTAGAGAAAAAACATTTTGGGCATATTTAAAATCGCAGTTGAAGGTATTTTGCATGAGCATTAAAATGCCCCATAATACTTTTCTGGGTATGTGTTTTCCCAGAATGTTGTTTAAGCTGTAATCTAACAGCCTCCAACCAAAAATCTTCTCTAATCAAACTATCTTGGGGAAAATGACAAAGTCCACTTGCATTTAAATCAAGAAACAAAGCTACCTAGTTGAGTGATTTTCCCTCTTGGTGCCCTGCAGAGCAATTTTTAAAGAACTGCATGTGCATCTTTAGCAGCAAGTGATTTCAAAGTCCTCTACAATGAGTGCTGTAAAAAATTAGGACTTTTTGGAGACTGTATTGCATGCTAAATATGTGGCAAGAGCACGGTGGAAAAAAAGTAAATCTGTCAGAATCACTTATAATTGTGTTTGGCTTTATTTGCATCATTTTTAGGCCCACAGATCTGCACAGCTAATCAGTGCTCTGCATGTGGGAAAGCATGTATGTGTTGTGTCCAATATTAGAGCAAAACAAATGAGCTTCCTGATGGCAAGGTTAAGTGCTTTCTCAGTAGAGTGGAGTGATTGTTTGGGTCAGAGTCTTTCAAAATTAGCTAAATTTTGTGGCAGAATTGGCCCTTTCTGCAGAAAACTGTAGCCTAGCTTGCAGGCCAGTATTCCTGGCTGTTTCTAAAGAAAAGGGCTGACCTCATCGACATAGGGCTGGGCGATTAATCCAATTTCAGTTATTATGATGGCTCCCTACAATCCCATTTTTTCTTTACAGCAGAGGATGCACTCTCACTTTTGCTTCACCATGAGGAGCTCAGATCGATGTGCTCCCTCATATTGTGAGACAAGCTCCCCATCCTTGAAATAACGTGCATGAGCCCAAACAAAGTTAGCGTGCTACAATGTCGGTCAGTAGAAACCAACCGGAAAGTATGGAAAATTGTCTGAATCCTCCTTTGGCCACGACCAACACAAGCAAGAAAACAAAGTAAATGTGGGAGACTCTGGCGGAACAAAGGGTGGTTTAAAAGGAGGTAGACAAGAGCTAAGAAGCGGAGTCAACATCAACATAAACGAGGGAGAACGCTTCGGGATCTTAGGGACCCTGCAGCCTTTCTGCTGGACAGATAAACCACTTTATCAAAGTAAGCCAAGTGTCTGTAACAAGAAGTGTTTCTTGG